TTCGTATATTTCTTCGACGAGGGACTTGCACACACTTGAGCCCAACACAAGAGTGCTGGCAGTGGTCAGTACGTAACGTAGTGCTACTGTTCTGAACCTTCTTTTGCAGTACCACTCCAAGCAGTCGACGCAGGTCTTGCACCTTTTGGCGCTTCTGTCATCCCTTTGCATGTGGTTGCTAATCCTTTCGTAAGCATTTTATTCGTGTTCTGCCTCAAGTCGAAGAGCTACATCCTGCAAGTTGACAACAGACCATGAGCCGCAGAAAGGGCTGAAAAGCGAGTCAGCTGGGCCCCACTAATCTAGCTAACATCAATAGTCGACAGATCCCGACGATCAGTGGCCGGGATCTGTACGCCAGCTCTCGTCCGCTATTCCCCTTTGCTCCAATGCTCGCATTTGCACATGCAGCGCCCTAGGTTGTTGTCTCATATCTAATGCTGGGCCGATTAGACTTTCATTTGCTGTTTCCCGGGTTCCTGGTTCTGTGGCTATTGTCAATGCGGTGGTTGTCCATACCTCAACTCCCCACTACTCATGATGCAGTCTGAAGCGCCTGCTTGAATCACGAGGTAGCTGTCCTAAAGAGCTCCCCCCAATGCATCTGTAAGAGTCTAAAAAGATGAAACCAAATCCTCGAGCCCGAGGCCATGTTAGACCATGTTAGGGGGCGTGCTTTACGCGATGTATCATACGTATCCTCTTTCGTCTACCACGCTTTGTCTGTTGTGCTGGACTGCTGGCTTTCAATGCCAACCAAGTACTCGGTCCTCACGCCAATAAATGAGGGTTTGAGCTTCTGACGGCCTTTTCAGTCATGCTGCTGGTGATTATCTGTTGACAGAGTTAGAAGATAGAGTACGTAACTCTGGCACCCATCTCAGAATTTCGAGTCCCTTTCACTGAGACAATCGCCTCGTTCTCGGCTTTTAGTGCCACTTTCGGAGCTCGCATCATGTAATCTTTTCACAAGTCAGCAATTGCGATAGACAGCTCTTAGGTGCGCTTCGAACGAATTACAGCTAACAAAGATGGCATTCACGTGTACTCTGTGTGAATATGCAGATGGAGAACGTCTTAGATCCTTAGTGTAGACTGGAAAGACAGCAGAAGATCCTGGGTAAGAAGAAATACAGCGTCTTTGGGCTAATCAGCAGCGAATTGTTGATCACCACAACCTGACGATCCAAAAGTTAAGTTACGCGCTTGTCGAAAATGGTCAAACGAGGATCACAGGGCAGGCATTGACTCTTGGGGTCCTCGTTCGATCCGCAGGCAGGTCTGATGCAATCGCACAGACTACGTTCAAGAACATCCCTCAGGCCTTGATTGGACCTGAAGGAAGCCGTTGTCACCCGAAAGAGGGATTTGAAATATTGAGAACTTGACTAGCACCACCGGACAATGGAGGAGAATATTTTCCGAGTCGATCATAAGGTGATCACTGATCAGCGGTTGCTCACGGTCCATCAAGGTGACGCTTTCCTGAAGTTCACACTGCAACGTCTCCTAGATCCTCTTCGATGGCTAGGACCAAATCGGTATGAGCTGGGCCGGGGACGGGGTCCAGGAACTCCAGGTGATCAGCAATCGCATCATAGTACTATCATATCCCTGTCCTGGCATAAGGTTGACTTGGCACTGGGGATCCTCCTGTATCTAAAGGGCGAGCCACGGACTCTCAGTTCAGAGACTCCACCCCCTTAAGCCAGTGACTCGATCACTCACTCCGTCCTGTCATGACGATCCCAGGATTTCCAATGCATCGGGCTCCATTCTGTAAACCCGTATTACAGCGACCTGGTTTTGCTCGTAATTACGGTCATGATGCGCCAGCTGGAGCTTCCTTGAAAGTTAAGAATACCAGGGTACATGCGGAGGTAAAAGTCCTGTATCAGCCACGAAAGTACTCGACTAGTCCTATCCAGTACTCACTTTGCTGATCATTCCTTCTCATTCAGCTCTGACTTGCAGCGCCACAAAAACACTCAACTACTCTGTGGCTGTGACTCCGGTATCAGCCACGCTTGGGATCTTCTCGGTTCCAGCCCAAGGCCTCATTTGTATTGACAGTAATTTGTCATTCAGCACAATAGTACGGCTTGTGATGGCCGAAAAAGGGTCCGATATCTTCAGTCAAGGGGACCCGCTACTGACCTCCGCCTGATGGCATGTACTTTTTGTTCTTGAGAAGATCAATAGATGCTTCAATGTTATCGAAACGGCTACCATGCGCCCGTTGAGCATTGGTGCCATACTAGAAGCACGTTTACCAGAACGGACAATGCACTACAAGTACTTCTCAGACGAACACTTCTACCTGCAACTCACATCTCCAGGAGCTGCGGGTTTAAACTCAACCCGTCTTGCTCTTACCGCAACTGCCACAGCCGCCAGTTGTTCAAACCTCAAGCCATCTCAGCATGATACATTCATCATCAGAACGAACAAGGAAAGTGGAAGCAAGAGGTATCCACAATCTCAGAGCCTGGAAAGACCTTCCAACCCCTTACATGCCATATCAGACCCAGCTTCTGGGTTAAAGCGCTCTTTCGTTGCGGAAGAAACAGGTGAAATGATACATATCACATTTCTGACACTAGGACGGCCAAGACCGATCAACTCCCCAGTTTCCAGAACTCGATTGCCTCCTTCTATCGACTCCTTTGCTGCAGTCCGCTCGTGTGGAAACTATTTCGAACGGCAAAAGAAGCTACAACAAGCCACAGACTAGCCTAGATGCGGGATCTGGCTTGGATTTTGATCTATCTGCATGCTGCAACCCCGTTCATGCAATGAGCTGTCGCTTGCAGCCCATCCTGTCTCCTCCATGAACTGCTCCAGGGCTTGAGGATGTCGGTGAGCATGCCGATGAATGCTGTATATACCTGCAGCTGCAAGCTTACTCTGGCAGAGCTCCAGCTTCATGCTTCTGTTATCTAGATAGGCGCTAGCGTTGTCTGTTCTAGCCATCTTATGGAACTGCGCGGTTTTCGTCCGCTCACTTAAGACATATCCGACCGAGGGCATGATCGTGAAGCGGTGAAGAGTCTGCCATCGCGGTGAGTGTCTATCTCAGCACAGGTGAAGCTAATACTATGAGCAGTACTGCTGTACTTGGTCAGAGAATCGTCCGACACACTCCATAACGCAAGGTCTTCACCGCCAGGAGTTGGTGGGTTTATGGTGGATCTTAAGCTCATCACTGTGTTACGAAGGGGTTCAGGGCTCTTTTCTACCGGATTTTGTGTTTGTTTCTAGGCCAACAGTCAAATGTAGGCTCATACGGTGTAAACCGATCCCAGATCGGTCCGTTCGGCTAGGTACTCGGTGGATGATCTCCGAGAGTAGAGTTTCAAGGTTCAAATGGTTTGGCTTCACTAGAACCGTTCATCAAGGCGGATGATTTGTCATTGGGCCTTCTTTGGCCCATTCGCGAATGGCACAACATCTCTGATTAGTGCGATGCAAGGCATGGGCTTCTGGCACAATAGTACCTACCTGTCATATTAGTCAGACACTTAAAGCTGGCAGCAAAGATATTTTCATCCCAGTGGTGAATATTAGTAAGTACCGTACTATCATTCTATAATATTTACTCTGTAATGTAAACCATTCTATATACAAAGCAGAAAAAGATTGACAAAAGACTAGACCATTGACCATTGACCCCTCTATTGGACTCCATGTGAGGTCTTGCCCCTCCTGTTCACCCTTTATTGGAACGCATTCCTGATTTCCAACTGAAGCTTCCCGTCCTCGACGCCCTTCACCGAAATGCTCCTCAAGTCCTCCACAATCCAATCCGCCCCGGCCTCCCGACACTGCTCAAGAGTGTGCGTCGTCGTCAGCGCAATCACCTTGAAACCGGCGGCCTTGCCCGCCCGGATACCCGAGGGCGCATCTTCCAGCACCACCAGGGACGTGGAGTGCTCCAGGTCCAGCCGTGACCGGCCAAGCAGGTAGCACCGGGGATCGGGCTTGCCCAGCTCGACGTCCTCCGCGACAACCAGCACCTTGGGATGTGTGAGGTTGAGGACACCCAGCCAGCCGTCGACGAGAGCGCGGGTGCCGGATGTCACGACGCCCCAGCGTGCTCCGGACTCGTCCAGCGCGTTGAGGAGGGTTCTGGCGCCGGGGATCTCGACGGCGTCGGAACCGTACTCTTTGGGGATGCGGCCTTCGATGTAGCTGACGTCTGTTTGGACCAAGTTGTCAGCTTGGGCGTCGGGTCGATGGTTGGTAGATAGCGTAGGGCGAGTACTTACATTCCCAGTTGGCCTTGGAGGGGTCATACAGCTTGATGACATCGATACTTCTTCGGCCGTGGGATGTGGCGAGGATGGCCTTGGGGTCCACGCCTAGCTCGGCGCCGATTCTGGGACGGTACTTAGATACTGTTCGCAGGTAGTCGTATATTTGCCGGACTTACTTGTGCCAGTGCTTGACGATCGCTGTTTGCAGGATAACCGTTAGAGAGATACAGCGGTATAATTTGAGGAGAACTAACCATCCGTCGAGTCAACTATCGTTCCATCGAAATCGGACAAAAGTCCATCAAAAGTATGGACTTGTGGAGGGGCAGAAAATGAGCCTTCGGAATGGGCCATGTTGGGTTGAAAGTTGGAGATACAGTTGAGAGAAAGTGATACTAAATCAGAGGCGCTCGCAATGCGTCAACCGTAACAACTGTCCAATCTATAATGAACGTCTATACAACAACGAACGTCGAGAAGATTCTGTACAAATAATAGCACCTCTCTATGGAGTATCTACATGATTATATCTACTCCAAACTCCGCCAACCCAGTGTTTCCAGCGCCGCGGAGCGGAGATCGGCATAAGAGATAGTCCGGTTATCTTAGCACGGTGAAATCTTGGCGTCGCCCAAGTTTGCAAAAAAATATCTGAAGAGGATCTGGGCCGCTTATCTGGAGAACTTTTGTCTTCTTCTTTGCTGGAGTGCATTTTCAGACAGGCTGTGTCTGTAGTCTGTCAAGATGGTCAAGAATAATTTCGGTATGATTTCATTCAGGTAATCGATGGATACAGTCGCTGACCGTCGAGTACAGGCAAGAATTCGAAGCGGAAGCCCGTCCGCCTACGACACAAGATTGAGAAAGCCGCGGCGGCGAAGCAACGGAAGGCGAGAAAGCTTGCGAAGAAGGTATTTTGCTTCTTGTTATCCGCGAAATCGACGAAGGAACTAATGTCTTTGTCGGTAGAACCCCGAATGGCGCTCCAAGGTCAAGAAGGATCCCGGTATCCCCAATCTGTTCCCATTCAAGGACAAGATTCTTCATGAGATCGAGGAAAAGAAGAGATTGAAGGCAGAGGAGCAACAGCGTCTCAAGGAGGAAGCACGTGCTCGACGAATGGCCGAGAAGCAGCAGTCACAGGATGGAGAATCTGTCCCCAACGCTATGATCGACGATGATGAGATTGATGAGGATATGGATGAGGATGATCTTGACTCGTCGAATCCCATGGCTGCTCTGCTTGCCTCTGCCCGTGCGCGGGCCGCCGAGTACGAGGACGAACACGGTGATGAGAGTGATGAGGATGACGAAATGGACGAGGACGACGACGAGGATGATGATGATGATGATGATGATGATGATGATGATGTGGACGGCATGGACGAAGACGAGAAAGAAGGCGGGGCTACGCTTGGCGAGAATATCCCCGAGCTGGTCTCACAACCCATCTCGAAAGAAAATTCACGGCGGGCGTTCGACAAGGTGTTCAAGCAGGTCGTTGAGGCTGCGGATGTGATCTTGTACGTGCTCGATGCTCGTGATCCGGAAGGCACCCGGTCGAAGGAGGTCGAGCGTGAAGTGATGGCTGCAGACGGAGGCTCCAAGAGACTGATCTTGATTCTGAACAAGATCGATCTGGTCCCCCCTCCTGTGCTCAAGGGCTGGCTGCTGCACTTGCGCCGATCCTTCCCCACGCTGCCTCTCAAGGCGGCCAATGGCTCGGCCAACGCACACACCTTCGACCACAAGCAGCTGACGGTCAAGGGCACCTCGGAGACGCTCTTCCGCGCCCTCAAGTCATATGCCGCCAACAAGCAGCTGAAGCGGTCAATCTCGGTCGGCATCATCGGTTACCCCAACGTGGGCAAGTCGTCCGTCATCAATGCGCTGACTGCTCGTCTCAACAAGGGCTCGAGCAACGCATGCCCCACTGGCGCCGAGGCCGGCGTTACCACCAGTCTGAGACAGGTGAAGCTGGACAGCAAGCTCAAACTCATTGATTCGCCCGGTATCGTCTTCCCCAACTCCAGCGATAAGAAGAAGAGCAAGAGCAAGAAGGACGAGCATGCTCGCCTGGTTCTGCTCAATGCCGTCCCACCCAAGCAGATTGAGGACCCCATCCCCGCCGTCAGTCTGCTCCTCAGACGTTTGTCATCATCCGAGCAGCTCATGTCGAAGATGCTTCAACTCTACAACATCCCGCCGCTCTTCCCGTCGGGTAACGATCAGACCACCGACTTCTTGATCCAGGTCGCTCGCAAACGCGGTCGTCTCGGCAAGGGCGGTATCCCAAATCTTGAGAGCGCCGCCATGACCGTGATCAACGACTGGAGAGATGGACGCATCCAGGGCTGGGCCACCGCTCCAGTCCTGCCTTCTGTCGTGACGACCGCCCAGGGTGGCTCGACTGCCCCTGTCGAGTCAGGTGTTGACACAAAACAGATTGTCCCCGAGTGGGCTGCGGAGTTCAAGATCGAGGGTCTCTGGGGTAATGGCGAGGGGGACGACGAGGAGATGGCGGAGTAGACGGTACGATGAGAACGGTCTTTTCTTTCTTCAGCTTATTCAGTTATTCATGGATACCAAAAAGGCGTTGTCCCGGTTCTTGAGTCTTCCTTTGGACAGTACGTTAGATAGATAACAATATCTGGGATTCTACCACATTCATGATCACTTCCGCATCCTGAGCATCCTGCAATGGCCACCTGTAGACCAGGCCTCTACATAATTATCTTCCATGTGAGCATTTATCTAGCTCATCCTCAACATTCAGTACTGTAGCAGACCCGTCGAGATACAACTTCTTCCCAATTCACATAAACGACCTCGCTCATGCCGTCTTGATCTACGGGAATAGTTGGTAGATAACCCTGATTTGGCTCGATCCAATTTGGTGAGTGGTTGAAAAATTCCAGAGTATGCGATGGTGCATTGAGGATTCCGCGAAATATATATACCTGCGCACTAGTAATTCTTACCTGGTAATCTTCCAACTCTGCCCTTCCAAAGAATTTAATACGACACAATTCCCCTAAATACTACCCAGATTATACTACACACCATCAAGTGCACGCAGTATTCTAGATAGGTACATTCGTCGATACTACCCAGCGGTCAACTCAAGTCAGATAAAGCTCGCCACGCGCGAAACCTCGCGCCCGCGGACTTTTCGCGTCATCCACCTCAAGCTATCAACCACAGCATAAGTTGACCACCCACCACAACAATCAATCACCAGCAACACCTCACAGAAACTCGATGCACCGTTAAACAGCAAGCAAGCAAGCAAGCAAAAATGCCCACCCGGAAATCCACCGATGCCCCAACCGACACAGACGGCCCCTCGCCGCAACCGCAGACGCAGACCTCACCAGCCCAGAATGTCCAAGCAACAGAGCAGCAGCTTAAGGCTCGTGCCGAGGGCGTGAGTATCGAGGTAGCTTCTAACCAATCCCCGATTTGCTAAACCTACAGCAAGATTGACAGGTGTATGCAGGACTACCTCCTCCCGCGATCGCTCACCCTCCGACTAGCGAAAGCAGTCCTACCCCCCAACACAGCCATCCAGAAAGATGCGGTGCTAGCGATCCAGAAGGCTGCGACGGTGTTTGTGTCGTATCTTGCTTCGCAGTACGTCTTTCCCTTCTTTCCATTCCTGCTCACTGTTGGCGAAGCGGGGTGTGGGTGGATGCTGACGAATATAGCGCGAACGAGGCGACGCTCAAACGAACGGTTACACCTGCGGATGTCTTCGCCGCATTATCCGAGTTAGAATTCGAGGCGTTCCAGCCTAGGCTTGAGAAGGAACTGGAGGCGTTTACGGAGATGAAGGCTGGGAAGCGGAAGGGGAGGAAGTCTGGGGCGGGGGTTGGTGACGAGGCTGGGGCTGTGCAGCAAACACAGGAAGATGATGAGGAGAGCGCGGTGCGTGAGGCGAAGAGGGTGAAGCGGGTTCAGGGGGGTTCGTCTAGTGCTCAGGTTGGGGAGGAGGAGGAAGATGACGATGATACCCAGGAGGAACAAGAACAGGGGTTGGAGCATGAGGAGGAAATTGAGGAAGACGAGCAGGAGGAGGATGAGGATGTTGACGAGGAGGAGGATGAAGATGAGACACAAGAAGAGGACATTGATCGAGTGGAAGATCTGGATCGCGATTCGCGACCGAGGCGGACGATGGATCCAGATGCTGCGGATGACACAGAGAGCGAAGATGAGTTGGGGCCTGGGACGCAGCTGCAGAGTGGGCTGGGTTTGGGATAGACACAGGAATGCTTTGCTTAAGAGGAGACATCAGACTACGCAATGAATACTGATTGATGAGCACCACGTATACAGAAGAATTGTTCGATGAACTCGTGTCATTGACACGTATTATTGATTCAGCAGCTCATCGGAGCTGTCAAGTGCAAGGAGCAATATCACCAACGCCGGTCTTCAACAACCGCATATCGCATGCGTCCAGTAAGTATCATGATCCCGTAGAGTATACAGCAAGAAATACAGGACAATCCAGCCGCATGTACATCCATCGACTATTCAGCCTCAATGCAAGACATAGTGCATTGAATTCAGATCATCCCCATACCCAACGCCAAATATGCAACATAGTCTATCAGTGGTATCCGCGAACAACATCTGAGGCTCGGTCGTCCGGTCGTCCTCAGTTCAGAAAATAATAGTACACAAAGGCCAAACTTGAACTGGAAACATCACGGACTTGGAGGATTGAGCAGATCCTTCATTCCCTTCGGAACCGATTTGGGAGAAATCGTGTCAGGGTTGCTCCAGAGTCCACCGCACGGAGAAGTGTTTCCTTTACCGACCAGGTTAGGGAAGAGAGGCCCGTTATTGCGCGCCGCACCAGGCGGAAGTGGATGCATCGGTTTCGCATCATCCTTCTCCAGTTTGACAGATTTGCCAGCATCGCCAGTCGCAGCCCTCGCGGTTTTGGTGACTTTGCTAAAGGCGGTGATCTTTGCATTGTGCGCCGGCTCGACTTTCTTGCCTCGCTTCTTGGGCGCACTCTTTTTCGGTGCGGCTTTCTTGGGTTCGCCGCCTTTCGCCTTGTGGAGCACATCTTTGAGACTGCGTCCCCGGCTGGCGGGATTATTGAGAGAGCCGCCGTTCGATGGGTGCTTGTGTCGCAGTTCTGCTGACTCCTCGTCGTGGCTAGAGGAAGGCGTAAGAATTCCTGTTTGCGTCTTCTGCTTCTTCTTCGGCGTTCGGATGACAATGGATACAGCACCTTGTTCCTTCTTCACCCGCTCGACTTCGGAGGAGTTGCACTCGTCAAACACGTCCTCAGAATCGTCATCCCACCGTTTCAGACCGGCGAGTCGCGCCACTTCTTCACAGTCGCCCTTGACCATCAAATCCCAGCAGTCTTCGAACTCCTTGCCGGCAGGCGGCTCGTTGTTGATCCACATGGTGACGCCGTTGCGACGCGTGCGGATCACAGAACAGAGGCTTTTCACCAGGCGACGTACGCCGGGGATTTTCAGACTGGTGCCGACCACGATCAGGGCGTCCGGCCGTGACCGGATATCTGCGTTCATGACCGAGGTAATCGCCTCCTCGTCCGGGTTGTGCTCGTTGTACAGCACAATCCGCGGTCGCATCTTGCCAATCCCATGACTGCGCTGTCCAGTCTCGATGCGAAATTGGTTATTCTTTGAGCACTCGGGGCATTCAGGAGCGTCAGGCCTGTTGAACATTTCCCGGTCGAAATCGAGCAGATGACGGCACTTTTGGCAGACCATTTTGTCCAGGCTTCCGTGCAATTGGATCGTGCGCGGCCAGGGAGCCTTTACGTTCAGAGGAATCTGGGTTGCCAGAGGAGGCATTGATGTCTCAATACCATCGATATTCTGAGTGTACAGTCGTGTGAGCCGGTTCTCCTGTGCTAGACGAGCGAGCATGTGGTGGAACGCGGTCGGGCAGGTCTTGGCCGCCTCTTCCGACAGCGACCGCACCATATCCTGAAAGGAGGCGGTCAAGGACTCATCCTGGTAGACGGCAGCGTCAAACAGAAGCTTGCCGGAAGCTTTGAGGTTGTGTTTCTTCTGGAGGGATTTGAAGAGGCCATCAGTAGAGCGAAAGTCAGGAACTATAATCATAGATCAGCCAATTAGCGTGTTTGTTCTTCTGTCATCCACCATGAGGCTGAAGGAAGTGCATACTGCCTGCAGACGTGGAGATACCAGCACCCGCGATGACGACAATCTTGCGGTGACGACGAAGAGTTTTGACTAGTAAATCAACCTGCGCCTGCTGTTCGCCAAAACTGAGCCCTGAATCCCTGGACAGATCGAGGTGTTGCGTGGTGCGCTCTTTTGGTGTAGCTACGCGACGCTTCTTTCTGGCGGGGGAGAGGCCGTCTTGGCCGCGTGCGGCGCTAGACGACTCGCCCGTGTCTTGAGATGGAGGCGGCGAGGGAATGAAGCTCGGAGGGGATTGAGGGGATGCTGGCGGAGAGCTCAGCTCTGAAAGCTCTGAAAGGTCGAAATCATCCATGAACTTAGGATTCCACCTCTCGTCTGAGATTGTAGAGGTTTGTGAGGAAGAGGTAGATGATGAGGTGGTTAAGGAGGAAGCGGTGGTGGTTGAAGACGGCGCCATGAGAGCTGTGATGATTCACGTATTTCTTGAGGAAAATACGTCGAGAGAGAAGGAGAAAGGGCGATAGGGAAGAAAGAGGAGCTTTTCACAGGGAAAAGCTAGAAGTTGCCCTGAGATACGATCATGGGAAAGATGGAACACGTAATTGAGGTAAAGTAATCCGGAGAAAAATCAGAATCTCGCCTCAAAAGAGAGTCGAACCAGCTTTTGGCTGGGAATTAAGACTAGTTGACGGAGAGAAATTCAGGAAGACGATTTGACCGAGGGATTAATGTAAACGGGAAATAGAAAGACTAGGCGAGAATGATGAAGCAGGGGAGAGTGAATAACCACAACCTAAGCCATTGGAGGAAGAAGTGGTTGGTGTTGTGGTGGAAGAAAGATTGTTCTTGAGAAGAGTCTGTCTGTCTGTCTGGCCTCTGTCGCTTGGTGCCGATGGTTGTGTTTATTTTGACTGACCACGGGGAGAGACGACAGGAAGAGGCACCGCCGACGGGTTTAGTCAAATAATGGATCAGACGTGGTGGAAAGGACTCATGGACCAAGACTAGTTAATGAAATCGCCGTTAGGGTTGATCAGGGTCGAAGAGCAACATGTGGTATGTCAGAAGGAATGTTGCTGTCGGCTGCTGGCGAAAGTGAAGGGTTGGGAGTAATGGCAATATATAAGGTATCATCCGACGGCAATGGAGATCGTCATTGTCTTCGTGGTAGCAGTTAAGGGTTCTTTGGCAAGGGAAAGGAACGGGTCTTGTGGCTAAGACGGAGCAAAGGATATCTACAAGACTACCTTACAACATAGGGGACGGTCTACTGCAATTTGACGAAATCAATAGAGCCATCTGAATGCTTGCTGCTGCGTTAGATAAGATCAACCAAGAGCTATCTCATCCATTCAACTCCTAGCTGAACTTTCATTAACTTTATGATCAGATGATTCTGGTGGTATTGACGCATTATTGTTATGATGATTATTGCAGAGTTTTAGGCTGATTGTTCCCGTCCTTGATTGCTACAGTCTCATTGGTCAACCTCATAAGATGCCTGGGGCCACACTTCGGAGGGCTCAACACATGAAGGTATCAGGTCAGCTTGGAAGGCTTCAATATCCACGAATTTTGCCTCTAGTTGCAAGAATACTGAGATCTTACGTTTCAATCTGTGACTATGGAGACTGTCCATCAAGCTCTAGCATTGTCGAAAGGCAGACACGATCCCATAAAGTGGTGAAGTTGCCATTTTCTCCTCATATCGCAGGACATGTCATGTTCAGAGTATTTGAATGTGCAATATTAACTTGAAAACACATAGCCCATCAAATGGAATGTGTAGATCAATGCGAGGATGCATTTTCTACCGAGCTCGCCGACGTTCTGAAGGGTTTTTGTTGTATCCGTCGATATAGAGTCGAAAGCGCCAATCATGGCAGGTTGAGCGGTTGGCCGGGAGATTGGCCCACATGACATCACATGACGGATGACTGATCAGCTTCATTTAATTGAATGAATTGTGGAGAACGAACAGTGATGATGCTACTGATAGAAGTGTGAGACAAAAGGCATAATGATAAGGTGAAAATTATTATCATGGCAGAGAACTCTTTGATATGATATTGTTGAATTTTTCCTAATTAGGTAGAATTCGTGGTCATCTTGTGCGTTCGATCGTCTGGATATCGCGCGCACGTTGGAACGGGTTCTCCAGTCTCGCAGGCCATCACTTCTAATGCCTGGAGGATAATGATGGTGCTGGCACTTCTCTGAATCTGTACCTCGTCATCGATTTTGTAAATCAAGACACGATACCTGTTCAAAATGCCCTTGATCATGGAAGACGGCATCAATGTTGACGATTTGTTTGGAGAGCCCGGCTCCCTCGAGCTGGGTTTATCCCCTTCTACTCCCTCTCCTAGAGGTCTTGCACAACGGTTAGATGAAATGAGACTGATAGGTTGTTGTCAGTAAGTATCAGGATTTAAGCTTGCGAGTTTACAAGCATGGCACCAAAACTAACGTTACATCAGGAAGATTGCATGGTCAAAACTTGGATGTATTGCATACATCTCTCAGGACGGTCTGAGAGTCAATGTCCGTCATCTCCAGTGTCGACCCTCAGATGGAAAATGGGTACTCAGTGAGGAAACCCCTCTACTGCCAGTCACCGATGCTCATGGAGGGCACACCTTGGTTCATCTGTGCTGGAATGAGCCAGGGGCCGAACTGGCGGTGGCAGATTCTTCAGGAAGGGTATCCATCTACTCAATTTCAATTGCACTCAACAGCATTGCTGGTCATCGTCAAGCAGCTTTCGATCCTGATGATGACGGCGCTCAAATAGTGGGTATGATGTGGTTGAACACCCAACGCACGGTGCGTATTCGCCGATCTGGAGACCTTCCTGGACCCTCGGCTCACTGTCGTACAGGTGCATTCCTTCTATCAAGCGGCAAAGGTGCAGGGACGCTGGGCCTACTCGCCATTTCGACGTCGTCCAATCGGCCCGTTCCATCCAGTCAATAAGGCAGGTTTGGTCTGCGTGACCAGGTCCGGAATCATCCGACTGTTGTATCAGAATCCCGACAGCAGATGGGCAGAGATCTCTGCAGAACTCAAAAATACAGGCTACTCAGACCGACTCCTGACCCACGCGGCTTTGGTATCTACGCAGGGCGGCATCCTCGTTGCCACACACTCAGCATGCCAGAAAATTTGTCTTTATCGCGTTCACATCGCCTGGACCCCGACTCAATACGACCCTGGCCAGCAAAAACCGCCAGCCCCTTGGCCTGTTCCTTCCTTCCGCTTCCTCCATTGCAAAGTCGAATCCCAGTGCGACGTGCCAGGCACGAACCGCAATGCGGGAGACAATGCACAGGGCTTGCCCTCATTTACCAACTCCTTTTATTGTCTTACCGGCTTGGACATTGTGCTTCCAGCCCTCGATAACCCAGCGGGCTCAACGGCAAATCCTTGGGTGGTCGCCATCTATTCAGCCCCTCTCCACGTCACGCAGGATCATCCTCAGCAACAAGGCCCGGCAAGCGTCATTGTACGGTGGCAATTGGACACCGGTCCGTTGACTCTTCATCCGAAATTTGATGACGTCCCTTCGAAGAAAAACAATGCCCAGGTCAAGGTAAGCACTTTGACGTTGATGGTCGTTTGTATCGCTGTTGACAATTGAGGCAGCCGAAATTGGAGCTGCGTCGGTTGGATGATGTCTATTCCGACAAGTACGCCATCTCGATAGACCAGATCGAGTATGGCAATGTGCTCGCCATCACATACGATGACGGTTCTGTGGTTTTCTATGATCCCAAGACCATGGCTGTGTTCAATGGAGTCGACGACGCAAACACTGTAACCAGCTTGGCTCAGGCGGGCTTTCACCACCCGCCAGAGCCTTCAGGTCAGTAATATTTCGGTATCGCATTGCCTCAACCACGCTGACCTATGGATTTGCAGCAGGTCTTCATATCAGCTTCTCACCAAACGCTTGCGCTGCTGTAATGCTTGACGGAGAGGGACAAACTCACCTAAGGCTCACGGAACACTCTTACGGGGCTGAGGGCGGACTTCATGATGAGAGTACGTGTCTTGACTGCAAGGTTATGAATCGGCGCATTTTCTGATACAGCACTAGACAAATATTCGGCTGCTATTGCAGCGCTGACTCTAGCGTTCTGTCGGGGATGTGGAAGCGACGTAAATACAGACGACATTCTGTTGATTCTTGTACGCCAACTGACACCCGGTTAGTTCACCTCCTTCGATCGTTGCAATGATCCTTTCCGCTAACAAATGTACAGAGGCGCAAGCCACCTTCATCAACGAAGCGTACCGCGCTTTGCCTATAAACTGCAACTTTACAGTAGAGCAGGATAAACTTATGAACCATCCTTACATTCCTCGCTGTCTGAGTATTCAAGCTGCTCTGGGATTCAAGAACAAATACACGCCGCGGAGCTTCGCATCCTCTATACCTTGGGCCGTCCTCCAGCTTCGCCATGCGTCGGTTCTATATGCATTCTTCTTCCAGTACAACAAAGGCGGCGCCACAGAACCGCATGACCCTGGTGAGAATATCTAGGTTGATTCACAACGAAGCTGGTGCTAACCGTATTCTGCTGCATAGATGTCTTGCGTATGGTGCTCGGAAACACCAAATGGGCCCTTGATTTTTCATTCTACGTGCTGAACGAGCTGTTCGACCTCGCTGATGACTTTGAAAGCCTATCCGGCGACCAGGAGGCATTTACACAGAAGTGTTCGTGGTGCCTCGCCTCTACATACCTGGTCAGCCATGCTAACCTCTATTTCCGGCAGTGAAATCCACAAGCTCCCTTCCTCTCATCATCCTCCTCTCAAGCATGTCTCGCGCATTCCTGCGGTTCATCTGCCGGGGCTTGCGAGGGATATACGCAGGCTACGCGACCGCAGCCCCTCTAAGCGGCGATGCCCGCGTCTACTACGCGGAGATCTACCAAACACTGGAATCCGCACCGATCCGTATCGACGCATACGAGAAGTTCCTCGCCGGCGTGGACTCGGCCGTGCGCCACGCCTATCACGGCGCCGGGTTCGGCGACGCGGAACGGCCAGGCCCGGAGAAGGAACTCCTGGTCAACGCCCGTGTGCCTCCCGTGCTGGTGCCGGCGGTGTCCACCATCCTCCGACAGACGGTCCCCGCGCTGAAGACGGAAATCGACCGCATCACGATCTACATGGGTGACTACAGCTGGCTGGGCCTGTCCAACGACCGCCGCACCGAGATGTACCGCCGGAACCGGGACGTGGACATCATCAAGAAGATCCCTTGTAGGCCTGCTGCATCTGCTCTTCCGGAGACTAACGCAAATGCCAATGCAAACCAGAACGGGAAATCCAGCACGCAGGTGCAGCAGCGTCGGCGGCGGTGCGTCCGCTGCTGCGAAGTCTCTAGCGATACGCATCCGCCGCGGTCCCTACTCTCCTTCCGCATGATTGCGAAGTTGGGACTGTTACGAGCTTGCGTCTGCGGGGGCATGTGGACTCTAGAGCCGAGTGTGTACAGCTCTGCGCAGTCGTCGGGTGCGCCGGTCGGTCAGGCGACGGGACGTACGCCTGCACTGATGGCTGCTGGGTTGGCTGGTTCAAGTTAGTAAATTATAGTTATGAGTCTAATGAATATGTTCGAGTTCCTCAGGAGAGGTTCATGTCGGAGAAACAGAGGGTACCAACGACAAAGCTGGTCGTCAGAAAACCGCTACTCCGTAGTATGAAAAATATCTAAGCATGTCTTAAGGTAGACTCTGGATCGAACCGAACTGGCCTCTCAAATGCCTCAACGATACCTCCCAGGACAAGTTGGCAGGCCGAACCAAGAGCATAAACCCGTAACGCACATTCAAAAAGTAAAGTCGCATTGTCATGTCATGTCAAGTAAAGCCTTCATGTATTATTGACCTGCATCTCATATCTCTAAGATACAAAATCAACCTTTAAAAGATTTTTGCAGAAACCCGAAGCCCCCGCACGCACGCAAGGTTTCTAGGTCGAACTCGTCATCTTTTATAACGACCTTCCCGTAACTCCATTTCAGATCCAGAAACGACGTTGGTCTTCATTTAGGCCTGTGGAAATTCATCATTAGTGACTCAGCTGGCCCGAATTGAAAATGCCTCAACGATTGCGGGATTTTTTGTCCGCATGGTGATGCAGCAGGAGGCATACCTTGACGGCGTACTTCCGCTGGGGGAAGTGGATCTCCTTCTTGCGCTGCTTCTCCGTCTTGAGGGTGGCCTCGTGCTTGGTGAGTCTGCGGCGGAGGGCACGGGTGAGGCGGGGTCTGAGGTCAAGAGGAGTGTACTTCTTGTTCTTGTAGAACAGACGGAGCTGGGCGCGCTGGTTGGCGTTGATGACGGTGAGAACGCGAGCGATCGACTTGCGAACGTCGTGGCTGTAGAACCGCAGCAAATCAGCATTCATGTCCCCAAATATTGTATCTTGTGTATATTGCGCAATCTGCGATTCTGGTAGGCCCCGATTCTTCCCAGTCTGTCGTTTTCGTTGTCTTTCCAATAAATTTCCATGCCATGAGGGGTTTCATTTTTCGAGGTAGAATTGCAGATGCACAAGGAAGGGCTTCGAGTTCAAACGCACATTCTCTGAGTCTTCGACGAGGCACCGGCAGCGATCTTCTGGACACGGAGCTGGGAGAGCTCGGTCTTCAACTCCTCGAGCTGCTTGGAAAGGTCTTCCTTGCTCTTTCCCCAGAGCTGACCAGCCTTGACCTTGGATGTCGACTAAAATTCATCAGCATAACGAACCCCCAACGGCTTCGAAAAAAAAGCCCGAATCGAAAAATTGCGCATTCAACATACCATGGTGGGCGGCTTCGTGTCGTGTCGTACGGGTATTGTCGACAGTGAGGATTGAAGATGGACCGGGTCAATTTGGGATGTTCTTTGTGGGACTAGGGTTTTTTTCTGTGTTGGTGCGGTCACGCTGCGGCTGGGCTAAGCGGGCACGTGACTGTGGCTGATTGCTGGGTGACGCCGCCCCCGGAGGAACCCCCCAACCGGCTGTCAGAGAGGCCCGGGAGGATCATCGTCGAATGATGGCATTGTTCTTGGTCTCGGTGGATGTGTTATTAATGACTGCCTGGACGGCCGGATGACTCCGTCGCTAATTTAGCACTGTGATCCACGATTTATTGCTTCATTTCTGGGGCGCGGGTTTACCACCATCACTTTTGTGCAGAGCTCCTGACCCCGACCCCGAACCAGACTATGGCAACTTCGACTGGGACCGGATGGGCTCAGCTCCGGCAGCAAGCCCGTTCGCTTGAGACTCAGGTACGAAACTCGAAACTACGTTATAATATGGTCTTTACTCGCGATTCAGATGTTGACCGCATTGTCTCTAGACCGAGAGTCTGTTTCACACCTACGCGCAGTATGCATCGATGACGAAGCTGCCTCCGAAACCCTCAGAAGAAGAACAACGGATTGAATCGCAACTGAAGGATCTTCTTGAAAAGGTCTGTACTTTGAGATCCTCGAGTCCAGCCCGAGAGGACGTTCATGCTGACACGATACGATCACAGCGTGAAGCCCTCATCTCCCAGCTCTCCCGTCTCCTCGACTCCGAAGCCACTCTTACCGCATCTGCCCTGAAACAGAGCAATCTTGCCCGCAATCGCGAAGTCCTCCAGGATCATCGCCGCGAACTGCAGCGCCTGAACGCCGCAATTGCCGAGTCCCGCGACCGAGCCAATCTTCTGTCTAACGTCCGCTCCGACATTGATGCCTACCGCAATTCAAACCCCGCCGCGGCCGAGGCAGACTACATGCTCGAGGAGCGGGGCCGTATAGATGAAAGCCATAACATGATAGATGGCGTCCTAAGCCAGGCGTATGCGATAAACGAGAGTTTTGGGCTACAACGTGAAACCCTGGCCAGCATCAATCGCCGTATCGTCGGTGCTGCCAATAAGGTACCGGGAATGAATGCATTGATCGGTAAGATTGGTACGAAGAGGAGACGTGATGCAATCATTTTGGGGGCTTTCATCGGGTTTTGTTTCTTGATGGTGTTTTTCTTCCGATGAGATGCTGGTGCTCCGTATACTGCCGATCTTCCTGTGTTATAATTCCTTGCTCAGCGTTGATTCTTCATCGGAGATCGCACGGCGTTTGGGGGTTTTCATGTACTCCTTTTCTGCATGCAAGCACTAATCACAATGGCCATGGCGTTTCAGGTTGTCTATTTCACATTTATTTATATGTACATACAGGGTCAGACTGCTGTAGCCCTAGAGCTCACCGCATGACCACTCTTGGCTTCAGACTTGCGGAATCACTTTGGTTTCTTCCCGCCCATTCCTCAGCCGGTAGCTCCGACTCGAGACTGATTCTTCTCTCCTGGATTAATTTGCGAACCCCGTTGTTCAATCCCTCTAGCTCGCCTTCCTCTGCCGGACCGCTACCCGCCCATCGGATGCGACAGTTCTCGTCCAGCAGATAGACATAACCAACTTTACTGTTCATCATTCCGATTGCTTCTTTCAACCCATCCGTAAGACCTTTGCGCACAAGGAAATACCGTTCGTGCTGCTCCTTAGGCAGATTTGCCCTCATCCGCCACATGAAAGTACGCACGAGCCAAGCCTTCATCGCATTTTCTTCCAGGTTGATATCGACCTTCTGCACAAGCTCGCTTCCGCTCTTCATCGCCTCCCATAGACCGGGGTTCTGCTTTGGGCCCGTAAATGTCGCAACCTGCGACTCTGCCCAGACACTGGAGAAGACATTGACGACGGACACTTTGCCGCGGAGTATCGAGGTGGTGTTTTGCGGTTGTTTCGGCGACGCAAGCGTGATACCGTACATGTTAGGGAAGTAGAGGGCTTTGTCTCGTTTGAACAATCGGGGGTTCGATTTGAAGGTTTTACCCTCGTGATAGCGCATGTTGGACCATTCTCTGAAGTATGGTTTTGCGACTTGCCTTGTTCTGTTGATAGCGGCAGAGTTAGCATGCTATATGTGACAGGCGGTGGACGGAGCTTCATACAATTCCTTGCGTCTCTCTATGTGTTTATCGTAATTGACGAAATCATCCCGTCTCTGTTGCAGTGATCGCTCGTCGACGCCAGTATTCTGTCCTTCTTGAGGGGGAATCACTGTGCCGATGGGTCGGTCGAGGGCCGGAGGGACAAAGTCCGCATCGCCAGGCTGAGGTGCTGATGGGGAGTCATTCTGCTTGAACTGAAACTTGTCGGTTGTGGTTGGCTTGCTTGCCGTGGCAGGCTTCACGTCGTCGCCAGTCTTGCTTTTGCTAGTGGCATAGTAGCGCAGTGATGGCTGCAGTCTGGTGACATTGCGGAGTTGACAGCTGAGGCAGCGGCCACCTTGTAATAGGGATGCGTCTGCGAGTGATGATAGACGCACTGATGATTTCCACATGGTGATAAAAGCCAATTGGCTGGAATGAGTGGTAAGTGAAAGATAGGTTGGGACTACACTAAGGTAATCTCGAGCTCGCCGGATCGCCGACGGCCGACAACTGTTTGACAAAGAGAGTAGTTTAATTGATTTCTGGTCATGTGACTTGGTGGCACTTTCGTGCTTGTCACACGCGTCTCTGCCTTCGGCCGCGTGTAAGTCTAATGCTCAGCATCACGACATCGATTTATACAAAGTAAACGCTCCAATAGTCAGACCTATTCATTAGGCAGCCGACGCCAACCACTTATCCATGGCTCAAGGTCCCTCGCAAAGCTTTGCGCAACCAACCCTCCTCCAGGACAAAGAATGGCGGAAAAGACTGTGGACAAAGATGCCTTTTTCAAGGCACTGGAACAGCTGGATTGCTTGACGGATGACTCGGAAAATGAGGCTGATATTGAACTGTCCCATATTATCAAACGATCCAGATACAGTGACAAGATTATCTCTTCGAATTGTCGCAAAGATACACCACCTTTCAAACTGCTACGTGCGACTTCAGCCCCTCAGTCTACTTCGGCCAGTGTCTCAGACTCAAGCACCCATAGCAAGATGCTTGCTCCCGGTAGCGATGTCTTGCAGCCAGGGGTCAAAAGATCTAACACTACCGGGACCTTGGCTGGACATTCAGAAGCCGACAAGCAATCTAAACGAAGACGGGTGATCGCCCCTAGGACTGTTCCTGAAGAGCAGCAGATCTTCAAGAACCTTGTGTTCTGTGAGTACCTGGCTATATGCAGTCAGGATATCATCCAACTCCTAACAATGTCTCCAGTCTTCTTTCCTAACAACGATGTCTCGCCTCTTCGGCGCCTACGGATCCAGCGTGCTCAGGAGTACGGTGCCATCTGGGCGAAGACATGGGAAGCTCATGTCACTCATGTGATAGTTGACAAAGGTCTGATGTTTCAAGATGTCCTTAAACATCTCAAACTCGAGGCTTTCCCGGTGAGTATGCTGTGAGCTGTGCACCTGTTGCATATTTTCCTGACTTTAGCAGCCCAATGTTGCTTTGCTTGATGAAAGTTATCCTTCCGAGTGTATCAGATTCAAATCTGTGCTAAGTACAACTCTTGTTCGATTCCGTGTCCGTGGAGCATCTTGCCCTGAAGCTGAAGAGATGAACCCCACAAACGAGACGCCTTCGACCGGTTCTTTACCCTTGAAACCAAGTCGGAAAAAACAGGCCACTCCTACCCCTTCTCAAGACTCGAGAGACCAATGCATTGTCAATCCCGCTCCCGAACAGCCCGTCGAGGCGCTCTCGGATGAAATACATCCAGAACAGCCTGTCCCGGAACCCTCTTCCCGCGAGCGCGATGCCTTGGATGACATGGTCGAAGCAGCTAAAGCTGCAAAAGACTTGGTGAGTGTCGACGCGCTATCGACGAATATGACTGCTGACCCAAATACAGCCTTTGGACCCTCTGGAGGAAGACTCCGTCGAAGCGAATGATACGGAGGCCTCGGACGCGTCCGATACAGAATCGGTTGAGAAGAAAGAAAGCCACCTGTCTAAAGAGGACAAGATGGTAGAGGCCTGGCAGCAGAAATTCGCTTGCATGCAGAAACATGATTCAAATTCCAAGCTAGACAATCCGAACTGTAAGACCATCGAAGTCCTCCAGCAAATGCTGGACTACTATACAAGGACATCGGATCAGTGGCGTACGTTGGCCTATCGAAAAGCGATCGCTGCCCTTCGCAGATAACCGAGAAAAATCGTCACCAGAGCGCAGGCGCGTGCTATCCCCGGCATAGGCCCGCGCTTAGCAGACAAGATCGAGGAGATTGTGTTTACCAACCGGCTACGTCGCTTGGAAAACGCAAACAATACGCCCGAAGATCTCGTACTACAGGAATTCTTGGGGGTCTACGGTGCCGGTATATCGCAGGCCTCCCGATGGATTGCTCAGGGCTACAGATCGCTGGATGATCTCAAGACCAAAGCCTCATTGACGAAATCACAGCGGATTGGAGTGGAACACTACCACGATTTTGCCCAGCGAATTCCGCGCCGTGAAGTCGAAGCCCACGGAGAAATCGTCCGAAAGGCGGTCCAGAAGGCGGACCCTGGGATGCAGGTCATCATCGGTGGTTCTTACCGGCGCGGGGCGTCTGACTCAGGTGACATCGATCTGCTAATCACAAAAGGCGATGCTACTATTGAGCAGATCACGGCGATGATGATGGACACTGTGATTCCTCGACTCTTTCAAGACGGATTTCTTCAGGTCAGTCTCGCCAGTACTTCGCGAAGCGACGGATCCAAATGGCACGGAGCGTCTGTATTGCCTGGCAGCAAAATCTGGCGCCGCATTGATCTTCTATTTGTACCTGGATCTGAAATAGGGGCCGCGCTGATTTATTTCACGGGGAATGACATATTCAACCGGAGCATGAGACTGCTGGCGAGCAAGAAGGGGATGCGCCTGAACCAACGAGGCCTTTATGCAGATGTACTACGTGGAGAGCTACGAAAGAAGCTAAGCGAAGGCCGGCTGCTTGATGGACGCGATGAGAGACGAATCTTTGAGATTCTGGGGGTTCCATGGCGACCTCCCGAGCATCGCATATGCTGACGTATCAGGCGGAATTGCGATTAATGATTGATGACTGATGGCTGATGACTGGATGACAGCATGATATGTCGCGTAGGCCCAGGTAGCTCTTGAATAGGAACTATTTGCTTTTTCCCTTACTTCTCAAGATTTAAGGAATCCAACTTTCCTGGATGACCGGATTTCAGCTCGCGTAAGGCAGACCTCACCTCTCCAACGAGCCGGTAATTTCTGCTGTCTTTCTTACGGAGTCGACAGGATAAGGAATAGCGAGTACGCACTACTGTCGAGTCCAATGCAGGGTTTGGCCTTGGCCTCTCAGGTCGAGGACAAAAGGCGGTCTCAAGATGGATGTGCATCTCTACTATGTGCAGTGAGCTGGATATTGGATACCGTTGTTATTATGGGGTTATGCGGACTGTGGACTGTGTATCTGGTACAGCAGAGGCGAAGAACCCATACAAGGAAAAGTGGCCAACAATTAGACTCAAGAGGAGACTCGAGGGTATGATTTCTCTATGGGGTCGCCTCAATCATAGACGCTTTCCAAGACAAATCTTAAAACATCCATGTCCATGAGAAACGACAATAACAAGTAATAAAAAGACACTGACCGACCTCATCACCGACATCATCACCGCCTTGCATGCGGTGAAGCACATCCCAGTAGCCACAGTGAAGCTTCCAGGCGGCAGGCCCCAGACCGCCTGTGAAGAAGCCATTTTGCCGCTACCTCGCGAATTATTGCTGCTCCATCCCACTCCTCCATCTCCTCCTCTTCTTCTTACCATCCTCTCAATCTCAATCCAAGCAGTCTTCTGCTATTTGTTTCTACGAAAATATCATCTTGATAGGCTCTTCCTGCTGGTAGGCATTGCCACAGGGTGGGTCAGGCTCTTGTGTTGCTCACGTCGCGAGAATCTTTTTTTGCCATCGATTCCACCCCTCGTCTGAGTCTCACCTGTGCGTCACAACAGTTAGTGATCCTGTGCTATCACACAGTTTTCTGTGATACTTTGTGATGGATATTGGCTCTTGATACTAATTAGCTACTTGGTTGAAGTTTAATACTACAGGATCCATTGTTCGTCATTTCTGTCGAGGTCATCCTGACTGGTCGCACACTTGTCCACACGCCCTCGCCATGGGTCGCAAACCAAATCAACTCATCCTCGAGTTTTTTATTCGAGGCCAAAAGCTCGAGGACGCCAGTAACCGCTACCAACACACGTGCAGAGCCTGCGGGGAGAAATTCCCCAAAGGTCGCATCGACAGCTTGACCAACCATTTGGTGAAGAAGTGTCAAGCGATCCCGCTGCGTGACAGACAACGCGTTCTGCTGCGACTCCACGAACTCCCTGACCTTGCCGACGGCGATCAGAACAAGGATCCCAACCTGGCGGGCCAGGGCAAAGGCAAATCGGTTGATCTGCCATACACGACAAGACAGAATTTTGATGGCCTAAACGTGCTGGCAGAAGCCTCGAGACAAGTCGGCGCCTCCGACCAGACCAAACGGGGCGGCCCAGCATATGCTCAGTCTGTCACTGTTGGTGGTAAGACTGTGGTTGTTGACCCGGCGCTCGAGGCCGAAGGTTTTCAGGGTCATCCTACTCAACCAGAGCATATTGAGGAGGACATCAAACCGCCTGGTAAGATTTCTTTTCTTTCCTTTACTCATAGATCACCTTCGCTTTTGACTTTGTCGATATCGTGCCCTTTTTTGGTGTCGCGTGCTAACGTGATTATTGTACAGGAACCCCCCAGCTTTCGGCTGCGACGGCCATTCCTTCCCTTCCAAGCACTTCGATGAATGACCATCCTTCCTCTGCGTCCCCTCCGATGGTGGAGCCTTCGTTGACCCCCGATCCCACCTCCAATGCTCGCCAATCCCAGCTGTCTATGATTGCCGCATCGGCTAGTGAGATGGTTCCTCAGGGCATCTCGATGGATCATGATCCGAACGCTCTCATGTCGGATGGCCTGCCCAAGCTTGGCTCATCCCCATGGAATCAGCAGCTTTCGAGTCATGAACAGCTTCTCTTCGACAGCCTTCAGGAACATGACCCTACTCTTACCGCCGCGACTCAACGTGCGGCCTCCTTCCCTCGTCCTATCGCCATGAATCCAAACTCTCAGGCCAAGGGTTTTGTCAATGAATTTGGGAACGCGACCAAGCCGACTAAGCCGAAGGTGCGCGGTCGCTTCTCCGCCGCGAGACGCAGGGAGGTGCAAGAAGTGCGCAAACGAGGAGCTTGTATCCGCTGTCGCATGCTCAAGAAACCGTGCTCCGGTGACAGCCCTTGCACGACCTGCGCCAGTGTTGAGAGCGCTCGTCTTTGGAAGCATCCATGCATTCGCACTCGTATTGCAGAGGAATTCGAACTTTACAACGCAAACTTACATGCTACCCTCGCATATCACGATGTCAGCAGTATAAAGAACCAAGTCAAATTCGAGCACTATGCTGGCCGCATCGAGGTCACCCACTTCGAGGAGAGTATGGTCTACATCACTTTCAGTGGACTCCAAGGCCACAAGCCATCAATGTCGACGCTTGACCCTCAGCTTCAAGGTCTTGGAGACGATCCCCAGTTCCAGGGACCTCTGCACGAACTTTACCTGCTCGACAGCGATGCCGATGACCTTCCTGGAAAGATTGAAATGTACATCAAGAAGACAGCGCCTTTTTTCTACGCGCGGGAAACTTCTAAGATCATCAAGCACACTCTGCTGCTCGCGTCGGAGTTGAGTCAGCAGAAGAAGGTAAGCATCAGTTCAGCTTGACGCATTGCGATTTGGTGTCTGACATATGTAGGATGTCTTGTTGGAACGAGTCTTGGAGTTGTGGGTTGCAACGCACATCTTGGTCGACTCGGAGCTTCGCTGGAAGACATACTGCAACCCAACCCTGCCACCCACCTCGATGCACTCACTCGCACAGCCGTCAGATGACGGCCGCATGCCTATTGACGAGGTTACCAACGCCGAATCCTACGGGCTCCTTTGCAACCAGCTGCGCGCCGCGACCGAGAAGCGGGCCTCTCAACTGAGCAAATCTGTGATGAATGACCTGGAACGCAGATTACTGCAGCGCCAGCAAAGCGGCTGGTTCGAGACCTTCCTGGTTGCGCTCTTGCTTTTAAACTGCGTTGAACGGACTTGCTGGCTATTCCGTTCCTGGGATGACGAGAACTTTGCGCAGCGGGTAAGTAATCTCCGTTTGCTAGTTGTCTCGTTGTATCTAACACGATTGTAGTGGCCCCTGGACAAGCGTCCTCCATACTATGCCAGCCAAGGCGATCGCTTCTCCGACATTCTGCACATGTTGCTGAAGATGCGCAGCTTGCCCCCCAAGGCGGCTCCGGGACCGGATGGCATTTTGAAGGCTATGGACGGTAGTGACGAGAATGCAGCTCGCTGGTTCGACATGATCAAAATCACTCGTGAGTGAGATTGCCCGTTTATTGATAGTTGTGAAAACTAACTTGGACAGCACTCTACCTCGAGCAACGCCAGGCCGCGGTTTTCGACCCCAACGACTCTCGCTCTCTCGATCTCCGCTATGGTGCCAAGCTGCTTCCCCCGACGAATGTTTACACGTAAGCGTGGAAGCAAAATTGATGTGATCATGAAATTCGATGAAGCGGTTTGCGATCGGCTATGTATTACAGAGGTTACTAGTACGGTGAGGCGGTTCAATGGATTTGTCTGTCCTTTTTTACCTTGTGCTTTGTAGCCCTACCTTAAAAAGGATGTATGTTTATTATGTACGAGTTATTTCACTTTAGTATAATAATGCAGAGGTATCTCTCTAGCTCGAGAATGCGAGTATGGCTGATAAAAATACAGAACAGTAGTAGAAGGTTTGCAAAAAATTCTCCCCGACAGGGAGTCGAACCCTGGTCTCCCGCGCTCGTTCTCGTTGGAGTGACAAGCGGAAATCATGACCGTTAGACCATCGAGGATGGGGATATACTCGGCTGGCCGTTTATAATTTCATAAAGTAATGGCAATGTTAATTCCAAGGCCGTCTATTCAATAATCGTACATCAACAGGATCTACCATTTCATAAATGACTTAGATGGCCCGAACAGGAGGTACCTAGCTAACATACACATTCCATAGAGCACCGCAGCAGCACAGCACCCCAGAGAATTTGGTCAAGTCCACCAGCATGCGTCAACAAGACAAAAGAGGGAAAGAGATACCATCATTCATTCCCGCATGCCAACGCAGAAAGGGTCGCATATCTCCTCCTCTGAGAGATCCTCGTCTATGCGTGACAGATCTCTTGACATCCAGTTGATGGAGCCGGGTCTGCGTTTGCCTCTCTGTCCTGAGGCTGGGTTTGATTTTGGGGTTCGTTTGTAGAGGTATGCCGTTCAAGGAGGACGAAGTAGTCTGTTGATTTTGAGTCGTTGGAGGTGGTTGTGGTTGTGGACCAGGTATTTATGAACTGACTATTATCGTTAGTTGGTGTTGGTATTGGACAGCTGCACAGCTGGAGGGATGAGAATGCACGTACTACCCCATGTAAACAGCCAAATCACTTGTCAGAGTCTCCGTAAGCGATGCCAGAAGTTCAGGGATGAGGATTGGATCACTGGGAGTGTTGTGTATGAGAGGCGAGTTTCGCGACACGGGGAGGCCTGGTCTGTTGATGAGCCAGTATGTTTCTGTTTCAGGCCATTTGCGGAAGACGAGGAGGAGGTATTCCATCTGCAGTGCTGGGTAGATAGCAGAGTTGTGAAGGATGGAGTCATGTTGGCGATGTTGACCAAGGACAGAGAGTGGCTTATACATGTATCGTGAATGATGTATAATGCATCGCACATACACCAGAATAACAGGGCTTAGTTATCCATCTACAACATACAAAGGGGATACAAATCATCACATCGTCATAGCATACAATAAGGTATACAATCCACCGGCAATAAATCATCATGACACAGCCTCCTCCCGAGAGTGACTGTGAGTCTGCTCCAGCACGACAGCATAATACTTGCCCTCTTCCGAGGTATCATGGTACGGGCCAGCCGCCAGAACCGCCCTGTCCAGCATCAGCCGTTATCCATAAATATACATCTATTTCAATGTAGCAAAGAGAAGCGGGGCGGAAACATACCACCCCTTATACTTAGGCTGATTGAAAATCTCCGTAAACGCCCTCAGAATCCGCAAGGGGAGTTCCAGGATGGAGGGTAACTCCGGCCCGGGGCCGCAGATGGGCAGGCCCAGCTTGTTGACGGGGAGGTAAACGATTTCGCTCATGTTGCTTGGGTTGCGGGCTTCCTGGAAGATGAGGAGGCGGCGCGAGAGGCGCGCCGTCGCTGGATTCATTGCGTTTGTGTTGGCGCTGAAGCTGCGGAGGCTTGTTGTTGAGTTGGTTGATTTCATGAGGGTGGGATCGAGGTCCATGATCTATATTCATGGGTGGGTTTATTTGCAAGTGAATATGACTTTTACATTGATATCAGTCAGTGTTGATGATACAGTCGTTCTCGAAATCGGTTTGACCAACAAACAGTTGATAATTATTTTGTGCCCCGCTGCCAAGACCTCTGTCTGAATATTTTATTGAGCCTTCACCTCAGGCCACTGTAATTTTCTTTTTGTAGTACGTCGAAATTACAATGTATAACAAGGTGGGTCATCCCATCATTATGCAAACTATCAATTGAATTATAAATTAGTGCAACTTGATGATCTACGTATACAAGCAGCGGAGTACGGATGATCTACACTCTACCTTCATTAGCAGCGGGTGATATCAATCTATCATCAGAAATAACAACTATGATTTCACCAACCGTCAGAATACAGCCAGCGGCTGATTACATCGTAGCCAAATGCCATTGTAATTCTTTCGCATGAAACATGATGGTTCCCTAATACGTCAGCTCTGTAAGCACTATGACAATTAAAGGCGAAGGTGCTAGGACAGACAAGGGGTATACTGTGAGGCCGGCGGCAATCAAAAATGCAGTCGGGTCTAACTCCGCATTGTTTAATTGAATTCACGCTGAGCGCAGATTCTGTGGCATGATACATAGATTAAGCGCCCACTGATTTGATTCTATTCTTAGCCGAGATGCGGATTGGAAGTTGAGCTTTAACCCAACACACTTTATGTCTCATCGCGCAGACAGCGGTTACAACTCATGGTAACAAATTAGGCAACTATGGAGATACATTGATATCAAGACCTTGGAAGCCCACTTAGCCATAAGTTCTAAAGAATAATCCATTCCTGTCAAGCATCATTTGAGTGATATCCGGTTCAATTAGCACTAGAACTAGCTGTCTTTTGTGAAGGTCGCCTGCACAATGCCATCTAACAAAGATCGTCTGTATGTTACTCTCTATGCTTGTGGAGGCAAACCTACAATGCCAGGCAAGGAAGACACGTGAGTCCATCATACAGAACTTCATCCACGTTATGTTGTTGTAATTTAAACTGATGTCCTGTCCGAGCAGATACCACTGGGCCTTGATTGTGGGGCCAAAAATTGAAGCAGATGGTAGCATGGGTGTCCGTTACCACGCAAAGGAGAGGCTAGGATTGGGGGGGAGGTTCTGAATGGTTCTTTGAGGAGCGCGAGTGCCAACTTACCCCCACTAGCATGTTGCTTGTTCGTATCATGGTTGGAAAGGTAGCGGATGGAAATCGCCTAGTCGAAATTTTGCGGAATACGCCTATTCGACAAGGCCAACCAGGCTGGAACTGTGTCTCCTGGGTGAAGGAGGCTTTGGACAAGCTTAAGGTCGATTCCAAGGCTTTAGGCACGAGCGTCATTGAGTGGGAAAAGGTGCGTAACGAGGCGATGAATTATTGTCAGCGGAAAAAAGATCAGCACCGTTTCGATGGCCAGGGCAACTTTGATTCGGATAAGGTTCCAGCATATGACTTGATGGAGCGGAAGGAGATCATTGTATGAATTACCAAACCAGGGTCACTTAAACATCTCCAAAATATTTTTGACGGATCCTTTCCATCGCGAGCTCTTCGGGCATTGGTTGTAGGAACTTGTCAATCTCATGGACCCAAAAAGAGTTCTGTGGGTTGACTTGGTAGGCAGAAGTGTATTCCCAGTAGGATGGATACCAACCAGCAGTTTCCCAATCAATAATACCAACAATTTCATCTCCGCGAACAAGAATGTTGAAACTGCTAAGATCACCATGGGTGAACACCAGAGGCCAAGACTTGCCGTGTTGCTTGATGAGGTCCTGGACCTCAGGGTCGAGCCTTGAATCAAATTCCATCCCCATGCGTAAATGCCGATGGAAATCCTGGGTGTTATCAAAGGGACCAAAGCGCAAGGTAGGGCCCGGAATACGGCCGTCGAAAAGTGATCCACCATCAACAGAAGCTACCCCCATACCTTCAGGTGGCTGCAGGTCTCGCATCTTGCGGATCTCTTTTGCTAATTGTGAAAGAAGTTTTGCCTTTGAATTTTCGCTTCGTTTTACCCAGCCACTGCCAATGATGTCTCCCTTGATCCTTTCCATCACGATGTACGTCATCCCAGAACGAGCAAATGCACATAAAACTTTTGGTACCGGGATAGATGTGTGTTGCGATATGAAACGCATTGTTGATGCTTCAGATAAATGTACGTGGCGCCCGTATTTAACACACAGTCCGCTAGTCAGCATGAGAACGCACCTTTTCCGAGGTCGAATATGTTTGAGAATTTTGATCGCCAGAAGTGTCAAACCGCGGTACAGAAGGTTGTCGTTGACTGGTTTAGATGCGCTCGATAAAGCGGTTGACGACAAAGGAGGCCCCTTTCGACTAGCCGACATTATGACTTATTGGCTAGGCGGTAAGTATTTGATGAGAATATCTCGTTCTTGGACTCAAAAGAAGAGTAAGGTTCCATGGGACCTAATGATGATTGGGAAATGTACAGCGACACAATAGAAGCGTTCGGTGGGGAGTGGGTGATACTGTGTAGCTGAGGTTTTTCATGGTTCGTGATTCGTGAACTACCTGCACGTGATCACCTGACATTGGGTCTATTCTCCAGCCAGGGAGGAGGACGTGGCCCCATTATACCCTCCACTGCAAAGGAATTACTGCATCCTGCATTAAGCAAGTATGGCGCCCAACTTAAAAGCTCTATAACTTAAGCTCATTCAGAATACGATCCAGAGTCAATCACTAACTAGTTCCCAGATTGCCCATGTTGCTAACTGCAGCAAATAATCTATAGTACGCATTCATTCCAACCTACAGGCGTACAACCAAAGTTGCCACGGGTTGGTGCATACTGTAATGAGTCATCCCATGACACAAATGGTTCACCTGGGTAGACACCGTCACTATCGGAGAAGTTGAAGGAATTAGACTGCATCTTCTCGACGATAAGGGAGACCTAGAGTTAGTGACTGTCAATAATTTTACTCGGCCGCAGCAACTGGCAATCTGAAGGTCTGGCTAACCTAACAACTCCCTACTCTAAGCCAGTGTTCACTATGAACTGGTAGTGACTGGCAAAGGGGAGGGAAATGTTGGGATGTCATGCCACATGGCAGCTGTCAGGAACCAGGCACTGCAGTTCCTTGGTTTGTCTAGTTTGCTCTGGGTCTACCGTTGGGCGGTTCCATGAGGCTCATAGTAACGAGTTAATACTCACTGCCATACGTAAGCTATAGGGAAGCGAATAGTTAGTTAGTTGCAAAGGAATTACGCAAGAATTGTACTCCGTACAGATGTGAGTTAGGCACAATTCAATATTTAGACTCCGTTTGGTTACAATGGCGGCAAATACGGAGTACTCCGTCCAGCAGGCCCTTATTTCACATGGGGCACCCCAATAATACATCTACGCTAAGGCCTTGGCTGTGGGGCGGGGAAAAAATACACCTTCTGTACTCCGTACTCCGTACGAGTGTGTTGGCCGCGCAGCTAGACTCCAGCAATAAGCTCTGATGACTGAGTCCGGAATTACCCCTATATGACCATTGTGATTTGTGATTCGATAATAGTCTGGTCGTCCACCACACAGCATCGGTGGTATCAGCATAAATGGTGTTTGGCAGGGTTAGGCGCGTTGATACGCGTCCAGCCCACGTGTTTGGCGGGGTTCTTGATTGATAACAGTAGTATGGAGTATCAACGATGACACGCAATATAAGGAGCTTTAATTGAGGACAATTGATAGATCTGATGCCATACGATTCGATGCATAAATGATGAATCACGTTACAACACTATCCGTTGACAGAGGCTAAGGATTATGCAGTAGAATCAAGTAATATTTACAGTCGCAAGTTCACAAGTTCAAGACAAGGGTATCATAAAACGCCTCGAACCATCGCAAATGCAAGTCGAGACAGACCACCCAGCAACATAATCAATCATCATCCACATGCCTCGGTGCCGCTGAATCTACCTCCAGCTAATCAAGCGTCAAGCTCGCCATCCAACACCCTCCGAGCCGCATCCAACCGCCGTCGCAGAACCCGCTCCCTCTTCGGATCAGGCTGGGCAGAGGCAGTGAGCGTCTGCAGGTCCAAGCAGACCTTCCCCAGACTTTGGAACAATTGCTCCAAGAGTCGAGTATCATCGTTATTGAGACCTGATCTCCCGTTTTGTGTATTCGGGTGAGGGCTTGACGCAGCGCGCACTGTCGACACAAGCGAGGAGACGATGGAGCTCGTGGCCGACTCTGACCGCTGAACAGGAGAAAGGGTTCTCGATGAGGCGTCCGTTCCATTCGTGAGCCCGTTGTGGCTCGCCTGATTTCGTGAAGCTCGGGGTGTCCCCATGGATCCCGAATCGCCAGCCGGTTGTGCAGGCTCAGTATAGGGCTGACGACTCCGCAGTTCTGCTGACGTTAGTGACTGCCGACGTCTCCTTTAGCTAGCTCAAAACCTACCGTCGTTGAACTTCTTGTCCCAGTAGAGAACACTCTCAATATCGTCGTCGCCCTCGATGGCTGTGGCAAACGTTGCAATGGTGGACAAGGAGGCCGTACTGTCAGACCGCGAATGGCGAGTCCCGGAAGCTTCATGGTAGGGTCGTGTGGTTTCAACGGACGAGGTCGACACATTGCTCGTGCGACGCAGTTTGCTCCGCGAGTAATTGCCCAGGGCGCTGTGAAGTATGAAGTGCTCATAATCAAACGCGTCCTCGCGCTCCTCGTGCGGTGTCATTTCAATATGCTGAGGCACAGCTGGAAAGGCCTCCAAAGACTCTTCCAAGTCCTCGTCGTCCAGCGGCTCGCGAAGTATCTCCTCCAAAGCTTCGCGGTCAATGTCCGAGCCCGAGGAGCCGTCCATGTCGTAGTCCCCCTCCTCTGCATCCTCGTACAGGCTCTCATTGAGCGAAACAGCATGAGAAGCAGCACTCGGCTTTCGCTGAAGCTTTGTTTCTGGTTGTTCGGTGTGATGGTTTCTCTGGTCGTATGTAAATCCATTTCTTACGGTCTCAGATTCCTGACGTTCCTGGTGGTGATGGTTCTCCTGAGCGTCGGCAGTATGCCCACGTCCCGGATTTGACCGGAGACTCCCATTGCTGTTCTTGAGTTCCAACGCGCTCGGGTACCACTGGTCCCCCTCGGTGAACGGACTGGGCGTCCTCAAGCTCTGCAGGCTTCGCCGCCGGAGATTGTCCTCTTGAGCTTTGACCTTCAGACTGGAAATCTTTATGTGGAGCCCCTTCATCTGGTCCTGAAGATCTCGCACCTGAAGTTGTGACTGTGCGCGAGACGGAGGGTCGTGAGGGGGATGCTCAGAGTTGAATTCTTCATACATGTACTTTTTGTCAGATTCCACGTCGGGGCTTGTAATGCCTAGTCCCTTGGGCGTCTCAGAGTTGTCCCCGCTCTGTTTGGCGGAGTGTGCGCGTTGAATCGAGCCCGATGGTTGCGTTGATAAGACAGAGGCACGATGGGTGAGATAAGCTCGGGTTGTGTCATAGTGAAATGACCGTTCATCATTGTGAAAGTTGGAGGAAGTGCTCGATCCCATGGCGCTCAGGGATCGTGACAGACTAGGCCCGGTGGTCGGAGGCTCGGTCGACGCTGTTAACGGTAGGTTGGTTTCACTGTAAACCCGGGAATGTCTGTTGTTGGCCGAGTCTTGCGCCGAGGTGTACGTCGACCGAGGGCGCAGGGCTGAAACCCTGCGGTCCGCTCGGGAGATTGACTGGTATAAACCCCCGACGGGCTGCCCCAGTCCCAACGGCTGAGTGCCAGGCGCTGGCGATGGTGAGGGTGAAAGCGAGGGCGACAACCGGATCGACGATCGGGCTCGGGAGAGGTTCCCTTCCATGAGCTGCAGCCAGGTTAGTCCAGAACAATCGTCGCTGGGTGTATATCATACCGTGAGCTTTTTCTTGGCATTTTCGAGGATGCGCTCCGCTTCACTTTCCAAGATGGCCGATGACAACTCGTCATCTGGTCCCTTCTCCTTGACAATCGACATCACGCCCTGCACTTCCTCGTTCGTCGAAGCCCCCGACCCATCCGCGTTGCTCGGAGTCACCTCCTGCAGTGGCGGCTCACTCATGCTCACGACGCTGATTGTTGACCCAGAAGAGCTACTCCACGCCTTTTGGTCTCTCGTCTCCTTCTCCCCTCGCCCATATAACACAGGAGAACTAGCCAATCTCGGTGCGGAACCATGCGATGCCAGACTCAGATTCCCAGAACCTTCCCCCTTGCGCGGCAACGACCCGGTATCTTCCTCCCCGATGTCCGAAAGTCGACGGCTCGCGTCGCGACTATCCTGCAGCCACGTGTGCCGGGGAAAGTTCTTCTTCTGCGGCCGCACGGGAGGTCCATACGGTGCGCCATGCGAGCTATCGGTGCCGGGTAAACTCGGCAGGGATTTATTCCCGTAGAATGCTTGGAGATGGGAAAAGGAGGGCAAGTTGAATGGCGGAGACGGGGTGGAGGACTCGCGCTCGCCTTCGTCGAACGGCAGGATCATATCTGGATTCGATAACGTAGGGGACGGTGGGATTATTGGTGGAGACTGTCGATGTTGATGCTGCCGGGCATTGCGCCCAGAGGATGCACTATCCAGCATTGAATCCGTGATGAGGTTAATTTTCACGCCAGTGATGGGTGTAGAACTGGAGAGCGGCCGGCGTTAAGTCCACAGGTGAAGACTTGCAATCTAACATAAGGCCATCTGGGATCGACAGACGAGCGTTTCAACCCAAAACCTGCAGGTTGAAATGAATAAAAGGGATGGCAATGCAGCCCGCAGGACCCTGATCCTGATCTGTTCTATGCAGCCGCGAACCAGTTCCGAGACAATTATCGATCCGCTTCGATGAGGCGACAGAGAAAGGGTGGAATTTACGAATTAGGATTAAGAATTAATGACGAGAGGAAATAGTTAGCAAAAAAGGAAGGGCGAAAGACAAGACAAAAAAGAAATGTCGGCGGCGTGACTGATCGGGAGGGAGACAACATGGCTGTCTTTCTTTTTCTCCGATAACCCTGAACGAAGTCAACAGTCAAAAAGTCTAGTACGTACCTAGTTAGTTAGATGGACAGTATCATAGATAGCAATCGTCCTAAAATGCCTTAGGAGAGTCCATTCTTTTTGCAGCCAGGCCCAAACAGGCAGGGATCCGTGCCTGTTAGATCGTCGGCCGTTCAGGACAAATTTAAATCCAATTTCGCTTGAAGTTGGGCATGGGAAGAGGACTCCTCAGAGCAAACATGTAGGATATGTTGTGGGTCATAATGACAGTGTTGAAATCATAATGACTTTACTCAGGGTAGATATGCTGTAGCTGCCGCTGCATCTCGCAAGCATGAATACTTCCTCAGCATGGCAATAGAGACATGGGAAATGGTCAACGTCCAGGAAATAGAGATCATCGTAAATTAGATTGTTCTAGATAGATGCCGTTTTAGTTTGTTTACTTAACTGTTACCCCTGAACCAGGACCCATGGATGACTCTCGCGCTGGTTCCGCTCTAACTCCCCTCTATCTAGTCTAGATAGCTCGATTAGCATCAAGATATCTCCTGAGTCTGAGTCTCCAGTTCTTGAAGCAATAAGCATGAAGCATCTACGTAAACTTTGTTATGAAAGTAAATCGACTGTCTGATTGATTGCTATGTGATAATCCAAGCTTAATTGCATCGAGTTTTGGACGTGTCAACTGTCAACTGTCAACTTCTCCGGACGCCACTCGGCTGGCTACATTATCTAGAGTAAGAGCACGACTCCATTGTAAGACTCTGTAGTTGAATATATCATGCTTTTGATTGGCCCTAGTAGTAATGATAGACCCTGTACAAAACCCTTGATATATGGAATATGGCGATATAAAAAGATCCAAACAGATTGGCCAGACCAGACCCATGTACGATTCAACCAGAATTACAATATGCTTTTTACCATCCGCCTGCCGAATATACAACTCATCGAATCTTCTCCAGTAGCAGTTTGGCTCCGCTGCTGGTCGGTCCAGCCTTTTTCTTCTCATCCTTGCCGCTCTCCGCAGCCGCCTGCTCCAGCGCCTTCTTGCCCTTCTTGAGCGTCTTCAAGAGCTCGCCCTTCTTAGCAAACTCGTCCGACTCTGTTAGCGCAACCACAACGAACGTATTGGATCCTGTGGCCCACGTCATGATCTCATCCTTGATCTGCTCGTACAGCAGGGCATGGAAGTTCAGAGGCGGCTGCACCTTCTCCACTACCTTCTCCGCAGTGTTGAACCGACCACCCTGGACCAGGGACTTAAGCAGTCGTCCGAAGAAAGGCGAGTCCTTCATATCTGATTTGACTTGGGCGGCGGCGGCAACGGCCGATAGGGCGGGCGTCTTGTCACCGTCAGCGTCGAACAGCACCTCGGCGATGAATTGGCATCCGAAGCTGGTCTCCAGGAGAGACTCTGCGCGAGCGGCGATGAAACTAAGCAGAGTGGGAGATGCCGCCTTGACCAGCTCCTGGCGACGAACAGCAGGCTCCTTCTTCGAGGTCTCCTTTCGGATCTCCCGAATCTCCTTCAACACTGCCTGGTCGACCTCTGGTACAAGCCACTTGACGCGGTCTCCGGCAAAGGGAAAGAGAATCGGTATCCGCGCCGTCAGGTCGTTAACCTGATACAGAAGCTCATCATTGCGCGCCTCCTCTTCCATGCCTTGGTTGAGGAGCTCGGGGAAAATCAACTTCGATGTCAACTTGGTGTCATCAATGACTTCGTATGCGGCCAGGAGAACCATGTGGCCGTGGAGGTCCGCGGCCATCATCTTGATGGTATCGCGGTAAGCACGCGTGAGCAGCTTCCGATCCTTCGCATTGGAGTAGGCCAAGCTCAGACACATTACTCGCGAGCCTGACTTGGTGAAAGCGAGGTTCTTCAGAAGATCTCCTTCTTCATCTCCCTTGAGCAGCTCAATGAACTCGTTGGCCTCCGAACTGCCTGGTTTTGTGTTGAGGAAGTACTGCAGCATGGCATCGTGCAGCATTGTAAACCCGGTCGTCCGCTTCTGCACCAGCTGGTTGATCATCTCGTGCAGGAAGTGCATAATAGGCGATCTCTTCTCGGGGTTCTTCTCCAAAATCTCCGACAGCTCGGCAGATGCCTGTTCATCCTTGAATATTGAAAACTCGGGACCATACCACTCCCGAAGAAGCGTTGCCTTTTGTTGCTTGGTCGCAACCGTCCGGTAGACATCGTCCAAAATCCAGGATCCTTCAGGGTGGCGAATGAGCCGCTTAACGTGGCCATAGAACTCCGGTATTATCAGGTCGCGCACCTCGGTATCTCCATGAACAAGCAGTTTGCCGACTAGGAACTTGGCGTAGCGGCTCTGCGCCAGCTCGTTGTAGTGACCCTTGAGCTCCTGTGCGATCTGCTTCCGCTGCTCGATGTTGGCGTACTTGAGAGCCGTCTGAATGACCCGGACAGAATCGTGCTTGAAAACGAAATCCCTGACTCTCCCGTTGATAATCTCAAAAAGCTCGGCAATGAGTTTCTTCCGCTCCTCAAGCGGGACGTGAGACTTGCGACGCAGACGCTCCCACAGCTGCTTTGAACGAGCTATGATGTCGGCGTTAGGCTTCGCGGCTTTGCGCTCTTGTAGAAGGGTCTTCTGCTTTGCATGTGCTTCGCGAGAGGAATTGTTATCTAGAAAAGAAAGTATTGTCAGCCAGGTAATTCGGGACGAAAAAAGTTCCAGAGGGTCACCATACTCTTCGGGGGCTCTGCTTTCGTTGAGGCAGCGGACCCCTTGGTCTTCTGCTTCTTCTCCTGCTGAACGTCTTCCTCCTCATCATCGTCACTCGCACTACCCATCTCGACATCCTCATCCTCATCAACCTCCGAGTCCGCAATATCGTCAATATCAAAGTCGTCCTCCTCATCGTCAAACTCCTCCTCTTCCTCTACCTTCCTCTTAGACTTCTTGTCCTTCTTTCCAGACTTGACATCCTTCTTCGAACTCTTCTGCGGGACAGACTTCTTCACTGGCGCAGATTTGGAATTTTTTGTTGTCACGGGCGCAGTCTTGGTCTTGGTCCGCTTCCCACGGCGCTCATCGCCCGCATCAACGGGACGTTTTACGCCGACCATATTGTCGACTTTGTAGGCGCTGTTGGCGACTATATATCAGATGAATTGAAGGTGCTGGAAGGATTGCTTCGCTATACCCCGTACCGCTGGCTAGATAAATTTTCTTGAAGCTGTTTCTGCCGGAGAAAAGTCGGCTCACTTTTTTTTGAGGCTTGCGGGCGGTCGGGTTATGTTTGCATTGTTTGTTTCTCTGCCGATAAGGATCGGCCTTGATATAGACATTTGATATGGCATTTGATACGAGGACATAGAGAGTATATGGATGTGTTGTATATGTCATGTACAGATTAAATTCCGAGGCATTCACATGAGGATATGCCTGAGTGTCTGTCGAATAAGGCAAAAGGCTATACCGCATACAGCACATGTGAAATAGGTACACAGAGAACAAAATGCGCCCGGTTCCAAATCCTGGCTTGCACAAAGCAGTCAAACACCAAGGAATCCATTCCCCCGGCGCCTAAAATCAACTCAATTCCCAATGAATTATCCATAAATGAGTTGCGTGACACACCTCAGGCGGTTTCGGCTCCTGCACCGACAGGTGGCCTGATCGTACCTAACTCGGATTCCAAAGTGGTGGATCCCTTTTTCCTGCCTGGAATGTGAAATCCAAGATGTTGCGATGCAGGCTTTGTGTTTCCAGACGCCTGCGACTCGCCAGAAAAGTCGCTAAACCGAGAGAAGATGCCTTTCTTTTTGGGTTTGACCTCTTCGTCGTCAAGTCCCACGTCCTCAAACTTCTCTTCTTCCATAGCCTCGGGCTTCGAGAATCCGTTCGTGTGCGAGGTAGACTGCGACGTCATACGGGAGAATCGCGAGTCTAGTGAAGTTCGAGAAGGCATCGTGTCGGTGTAGCTCACTGGGGAGCGAGCGGAAATATCCTAGAACACCCGGAGTCAGCTGACATACGCTCCGGGTAAATGAAGAGACCTGCCAACTCACAAATGACCGCCGGTACGAATCGAATGATTCGCGGGATATTGAGAAGGGTTCATTATCGTCAACGAGATTTCGATGATTTGAGGATCGGTTCGAACCGGGATATTTCTTCCAGAAACTCTGTTTCTCTGGGGGCGAAGGCTGCGTTTGACAATCTTTAGTTCTGGGATCCTGGGACTTCAAGACACTTGGGATGCAAATACCGGCAGATAAGCACCGTTATCGTCGACAACTGTAGATTAAAGGATCAGAAACGTCGACTCTCATAGGGTGCTAGTGATTGTTGCGAGTATGAAAGCATACCGCTCAATTTATATTCTGGGGGTTCCTTTTCGTAGCTTTTCCTGATACTCAACGGATTGGAGTGATGGCTCTCTGTCGACACCCGGTTGTCTTCGTGCATGTTCTCAATCTCCCCACCATTGGGGGCCGCCGACCTCCTGCTCAGGAAGTTACGAAACGGAGCCATGCTGGAATGACATCTAATTCAAAATCGCAGAAAGTAGCCAGATATAGGGCTCTTAAGAGGAGCCCCGGATATATTAGGAGTGTAAGTGTGCAACTGCAAGGGAATTTGATTGATTAAAGGACAGGAACCGTGCAACACCCCCCCCCAATCTCACATGATCGGCGGCAATGTGGTCCCGTTGGTACAATGTATGGATGTCTTTCTTGGATGACGATCTTAGCGGCAACACATTAACCAGAAGTAAGGCTCGAGTCATTGCGTTCCCTCACTAGTTGTAGTTAAATCGGCCGGTAATTTGCTGCTAGCCCAGCCGTATACGTCAAGGCATCGGCAACCCCAGAAATCCTTTCTCATTAAGACAAGGGAGGGAGATTTTTTATCCCTCCCCTTGATGTATTATTTTAGACGCCCCACGTCTTTACAGTTTACGCTTGCAATTGGAGTGGTTGGTTCCCACTCTGAAAGGCTAAATGGCGCATTTTTCACAGGAACCAGCATTGATTGTAGGAACTGCGGTGGAGGGAGCGAAAGTGGAGCAGGGAAAGAGTATCCGAACCGGACACGGATACACTGAACTGCAAGGATCCCCGGAAGTAGACAGTACCTAGTTTGTGCCCGCCTCGTGCCTTCATCGAGAACGCCCCAGATCGATAAGACCATCTAATATTATAGGTGGCAATTTCGTTAACACATAGGTACTCAGGTACCTCGGTTGCGTACTGTCTTGGCAGGTCCAGGACACCTAATGGAGGGAAAATTCACCTGTATGGTTTATGCATAAATGTCCCACGAGTAAGCACGTAGTAAGTAAGGTAGTAACTAGTAGTAGTTTTGATGCTTTTTGTGCTGCACGTGATACATAGGCCTATGATACTATCATGATGCTATTATTTGCTTTTCAACGACTTCAGTTCTCACGAGACGCTTGCATCGTTTCTGGTCTTAGTTATCGGCGTATTGGTTAGGTTACTTCCCAAGGTTCTCCTTATATTCTCCTTGTAGAATTCACCATGCACTCGACTCATCAACAGGTAAATTTCAATGCCTCGTCGCCTGGAACTTTACAGTAATTCGGACCGAGAAAGAGTGGTATCCCAGATGCCATGCACCATAAGTGCCCCTTTCTCCAGGGAGGGGAAAGGCATCTTATTCGGGATCTCGGTTTAAGCGTGATCAGGTCTCGGGCTGTTAATGTCCAAGGGCAAGAGTATATAGGTACTCCCATACGCATCGGGTCTCGATTGTAGGCCCGCATGCATGTAGTTTTTCTGAGGCGTCTGAATGCGTATTCACATGTATCTGCACGGCACATAGCTAAAGGTATTTGGTAGTAGAAGAGCCGGCTAGCGCGGAGTATGGATATGCATTGTATGGACAAGGTGTATCCAGAAGGCCTGCGGAAAAGGAACCCTACAGACAAGCATCCCCGGACCTTGGAGTGACTGCCACGAAAAGCCGGTGTCCATGTGGTGGTTCAGGATATTGGCAGTCACTATGGAGCGATCCACGGCGAGTTGGGTAATTGCCCAATCTGGACACGAGCACACTAGGAGTAGGGAAAACCCTCGGCGCGGTCACTTCATACCAACTCTCTATATAGGGTCAGGGTGCTTGAGATTGGACTTCGGGGCGATCTGGAATTTCGATCTTTTGAATTGAGATACCTGTGCTGTGAGTCAAACTTCATTCCTTTGGTTTCAGTCGGGTGCCACTCGTCTATTGTGGTACTCATCTGGGGATCTTTCCAGAGACTCCGCAAAATAACGTTCACCATGGCATTCATTTCTCGATTTATCTGCGCCGCCTTTGCTATCCTGGTGGCGGGTGTTGTCCATGCAGTCGATCCTAAATCCAACATACAACGCCTCACGGGCCCTGGTGAAGACGGTCATCGGCCCCCCGAGGTGGTGGACAGACCTAAGTGTGAGGTCAGCACGGATTGTGACTATGGGCATATTTGCGATGGCCACCTCCTGAGATGCACGATAGGTTGCGAAAGTTCATCCGACTGCTTCCGAGGTCATACATGTCTGCATGGCAAATGTCTCACGGATCATGGTACCCAGTGCGCTGGTTACCATAGCTATTGCCTCGAGGATAGTGATTGCTGCTCGGGTAACTGTCGTGTAGAATTCTGGGCGCTTTGGAAGTGGTGTGGGCATGGATGACGAGCCTAGTACTATGCGGCCAATATATATTGTGCATTTGTGCTGCGTTAAGAGAGTCCTCGGTCAGGAACGTGGTGGTCGGTAGCTCGCGAAGCGACGCGAATTGCCAAGGTACAAGACACAGAGCATCTTAATTACATTACATGAGAGACCGGAGCAAACGCACAGATTGAGAAGGAATTGATAGTTTATACCAGGTGAATCAATTGATCATCATCGAAGACGGAATTGCTGGCCAGACGATGGTTGTGGGCATGGGATATTTTTTTTATTTGAGGCTATTTTCCTTAATCTGTCACGGATAACCTAGTGGAAGGCCCGCCGCTAAGTCAGTAACCTTGCTGCGGCATTTGCCAGCGGGAAAGGTGCCCGGTACGAATCCTGGGGTCGTCGTTGTACTCGTGCGAGTAATCCACGATGCTACAAGGCGCTAAGCAATGGAAGTGATACTTGAGGGAAGCAATTCTGCAGAGACACTTCCACCCTGGGATGGCGTCGCCGGAGGACACCTACCCGTTACAGGGAAATTGGCTGTTTGGCTGGACAACCGCAATCTTCTTTTTGTTTCCCTTTTTTTGCCCATTCCCCCGTTCTCCAACCACAACTTATCTATTTTTTTTTATAACATTCTCAATCACGTACTCCATGTGACCGAATGAGATTAATTACTCAATATCCTGATAGTCATCACATAAAGAATGATTGCTGATAGGGTGTCGTAGCCGTTATGAGCGTTGAGAAGGTCCGCAGTTATGATATGCTATGGCGCTGCCTTCATCTTACGATGTTATCTCTTGCGTCCACAAATCCGTGGATTTAAATCATATGTAGACTCGACATTATGTGTTACGTCAGAAGCCACTGCAGCAAACAGAGCTTTCTGACAAACGGCGCTCCTTCCATCTCTCGTAGCTACTAATACAGGGCTATGTCTCTCCTGCCTTAGACCATCCCAGCCGGCTGAGACCCTCTCAAAGTCCCTTGCCGTATCCATGCGTCCTCATATCCCTATAAATCTGCGCTGTCAAATATCGAATTGAGTACCGGTCATCGTTGCCTCACTGCGCCCGTCCTGCCTGTACGCTCGACACACAGACGTCTCACTGGCGAGAAGCCAGCAAAGCATACACGATGCGGTTCTGGGTGGATTGGGCTCTCTGGCAAAAACTGAGCATGGTAAGTTCGACGAGGTCAATGATACAAAGTGATCGAACCTAATGGCAAATGGAACAGGTTCTTGCAGTTCTCCTGGTAAGATCGACTTTCCCCATGTTCACAAAAACGGCACTGATCATCTCACAGGCGATAGTCCTCGTCTACGCTTTCTGCGTCCTTGCGTATAACCGACGAATGACCAGAAAACATGCCGCCGCTGAAGCGTATCAGAGAATGGAGCGGGGCACCGAGCTACATCCGGTGTCGACTGGAGGCAGCGACATACCATTTGGCGCCCGGGCGCTGGAGAAGGGTGTCCAGGTAGATGGTATTTGGATTTCTACCAGCAACACTTCAAGCCCAGCGCAGCTCGCAACCCCAAACGCAAGCAGGCCGACGACGCCAGTCGTAAAGCAAACACATAAATCCTCGGCTGCTGACATGGCAAGCGATGTACAATCCCGCTGGCACAAGGAACAGTCTGCTCTCAAGGCAGTTGGTGGTGACTTTCGACGATTTGTGGCGCCGTCCAGAAAAGAGATCGCGGATAGCAGCAAGTCCAACAGCGGTGATTCCGGCAGACTTCCTGGGAATCAGCTTATTCATTCAGATATTGTTACGCCTCAGGAGTCCCAAAACTCAGTCGGATCAGATAGACGATCATCGCGAGGATTCTTCGGCCCACATAGCTCATGGCTGACAAAGTCCCCCGAGAAGACCAAGCGGAAGTCGGTCGCTGACGGTGAGTGCATTGAAGAAATTGATATGGCTGCTGTGCTTTTCAAGATGCTAATATATCATCTCTAGCTCTAGGGCACCGTCGAGGGCAATCGTCGGAAGATTTCAGGCGCAGGATCAGCAGGTTGATCGAGGAAAATATCCAAACGCGTCCGAAAGAGGAATTCCAGCTGAAGCCTCTACCGCGAGATGGCGTGCATCGACACAAGTAGAGATTGCTTCCGGCTACTCACAATCATGATATTCCTTTTTCTGCGTCACGAGAACAATTACGCACGTTCCGAAGCAGTTGCGTGACGTAGCTTCTCGATTATCCAGAGATATATTCAAAGCGACCTGTCCTCGGCTCTTTCGGATGAACCTACTCGCATTCGTACATGATGCCTCCGCTCACTCATACATACTAGGCTGAGATGACCAAGCTCTTCAAACGTCGAGGGTAACGATTGTATCTTATATAGTACAAGCTTGAATATTCCCTTGAGTCAGGATTATGCTCTTCGCTGCTCTAATGATCTCATATCTCGAGTGACATCTCACAGAGATAGTAGCAATAAGATCTAGGCCTCGCCGTAGCACTCCACTGAGTGAGCCGTCCGATAGTGGGTTGAAATCTGGCACTTGCAGCCTCTGTTATCGCTGTTGTTGGATTTGATCGTTGGCGTTACCCAGCCATCTAGGCTGACATGACACGTGACCTCGTGAGCGTCAGGACGCGTCCGCGATCTCCCTGATTGTTTAGTTGAGTTACGACCAAGCGATTTGCCACATTAATGAGCTGAAGCTTCCCCTGTTGAGTCATACTGCCGAATAATCTGTGGCAGCGCCTTTGAGTCTCTAATTTTTGAGCTGATTAATCCGTGGATTAACGCAGAAACCTACGGATTGACTGAAAAACGCGTCCTTTCGCGACAAGACCACTTCTTTGCCGGGTTTGTGGAAGTACTAAGAGCGCCTACACGACTTGATCTGCTTTCTCAGTCAACAGCATGACGGCAGACATGGAGACTCAAAATGAGTATGATGAGAGCGGATTGCCAGGCCCAGGCGCACCCACTCCACTGTCAGCTCTGGAGGTGAGTAACCGAGGAATGAGATGAATGCTACGATACCATGTGTCTTTACGGCAACAGACAAGGAGAATTTGCTGATACAGTTTGTATAGGGAGTTGCAGGGTTGACCAGTAGAGACATCAAGCTCTTCGTTGATGCGGGCTATCACACAGTCGAGTCAATCGCATATACGTAGGTCTTCCTATGCATACTTCAGGCCAGCGTAATTCATAGAAAACTACTTACACTCTAAATGATACAGGCCGAAGCGATTGCTGGAACAGATTAAGGGGATTTCAGAGCAGAAGGCGACCAAAATCTTAGTTGAGGGTGGGCCAACCCAGTCCCCTGAACATCGTGTCTGTCTGACTTACTTTATAGCCGCCAAACTCGTGCCAATGGGCTTCACAACCGCCACAGAGATGCACGCCCGACGAAGCGAGCTTATCTCGATTACGACAGGGTCCAAGCAACTAGATACATTATTGGGAGGAGGCATCGAAACGGGGTCGATCACCGAGATCTTCGGGGAGTTCAGGACAGGAAAGAGTCAAATATGTCATACGCTTGCCGTCACCTGTCAACTGCCGTTTGATATGGGTGGAGGCGAGGGCAAGTGTCTCTATATTGACACCGAGGGAACTTTCCGTCCGGTTCGTCTATTAGCGGTGGCCCAGCGTTATGGACTGGTAGGAGAAGAGGTTCTGGACAACGTCGCCTATGCTCGAGCCTACAATTCAGATCATCAGCTCCAACTACTCAATCAGGCATCTCAAATGATGTGTGAGACGCGTTTTTCACTTCTTGTTGTTGACTCCGCCACCTCGTTGTACCGGACGGATTTTAACGGTCGTGGTGAGCTGTCGTCTCGACAGACGCATCTCGCCAAGTTCATGCGGACCCTGCAGCGACTGGCGGATGAATTTGGAATTGCTGTCGTCATTACAAACCAAGTAGTCGCTCAGGTTGACGGTGGTCCAAGTGCGATGTTCAATCCCGACCCGAAGAAGCCCATTGGTGGTAACATCATTGCGCATGCCAGTACGACCAGATTGAGCTTGAAGAAGGGTAGGGGTGAGACCAGAGTTTGCAAGATCTATGACAGTCCATGTCTACCTGAAAGTGACTGTCTCTTTGCCATCAACGAGGATGGAATAGGAGATCCAAGCCCCAAGGATCTGGAGAATGATTAGTTGCATTATCGGGACCTTTCCCACGACGTTCGGATGCCATGACGATTCTTCGCATTTTACTCAGGTACATATATTCTTATCCTTGTTTTCTAGCGGGCAATGTATATCACACAGAGTCTTAATAGATTGATGCGAGCATGTTCCGATGGTTGACACTGGTGCCGCTGAAAGTGTCCATGTAAGAAATATGTAGATTTCTTTTATGCTCTTCGCCTGAAAGGAAAGTTCATCCGCACTTAGCTATGCAATCTGAGCCAAAATGATCGTTCTGATCATTTGTTGTCGTCAGTGACCAACACTAACACCGCGTTGCTTCAACCCGCGCCAAGACCCTGCTTTTTTTTAAGTAGCAAAAGAGCTTCAGCTTCCGCCTTGCAACTCCGCCAAATCACAACACATCCATTCCATCTGCCTCGATATCGGCCATGGAGGCTTGAGATCACCATTTACATATTTGTGGAAGGTGATCTAGTGTCAATCCGCCATGGCGAAAATCTATAAGGACACAAGGGTCGACCTTCGGCCATACTCGCCGAACACCGTCGCCAACATCCAGATTCCAAACCAAGAGAGCTCGCGGAACCGCGCCCGATTTTCGATAGCCTCATCCTTCGCGAGTCCTGAAGAACCAGCCGCGAAAGACGAGGAGGAGTTTTCTCGCCGATACCTAGCTACACAGGGGTCAATTTACTTCCGGAAACACAAAGTGTATCCCCGAACCTTTCTCTGGCGGGTGGTTAATGACAACAAGGTCCTGGAGATCCAGTGCGTGGATTTGACAAAGGGAGGAATTGAGCATCATGAATACGACATAACATTACGCTTCGACTTCCAGGAAGAGATCCTTCCATCCGGGGTTGATATCGCTGACTTGGAGGATCATGACGTGTTGAGTGTGTTTGTGATCACGGCTTCCAAGCAGCTGCACACGTTGACTCTGCGCCCGGAGTTCTTTCGACGACTAGCGGCAATTGATGAGAATGTATCTGAGTGGTGTAAATCATGCACACCGGCACCTCTGGCTTTCTCGCATCCCCATCGGTTACATGCGAGCAGTCCGCTCGAGTTGTTTATTTCTCTTGATAGCGGCGCGCTGCTGCGCCTGACTAGGAGGGCTGGTGACGATAGTACTTTCCCTTCCGATACCTTCTTCCTAATGCGAAAGTGTTGTACTAACTTTTTGTTGCTTTAAAGGCTCACATTGGACTCCTTTGACATTTGACGAGAGAACCTGGGGGGCGTCGATTCGCGGTCTCGTTCGATGGCATGCACAACCCACAATCAAGTACCAGGGACGCAACCTCGATGTAAACGCGGCCAATGCGATTGCCACTACATCCGATCAGACTTATGCATTCGCAGTTTGCTTGAACCACACTCTGAAGATATGGAACCTCGCTACGAACAGACTAGCCGCCACGAAGGATCTCTTGGACCGACCAGTACAACAGCAGGAATCTGCAGCATACTCGTTAAACCCCGCCGAATCATCGTTCATCCGTGTGTTTAATGTGGAGAGAGCGCTGGATGGCGGTTATCGCTACTACATAGTCACCTATTCACCCTTCGAGGATGGGCGCTTTAAATTCTGGGCTGTCAAAGGAGGCCTGACGTCGCAGCTGGTCGTCGAGGACCTCTTTCCTGATGCTGCACTGACACCGTTAGACCCGGACTCTACAGGCAGCATGTTTTGGAGTATCGCTGATTTCCAGGTCAAGCCCATGGAGGAAGGGAAGCGCATGGAGCTGTGGGTGCTGTGGAGAAATAACAGCGTGTACCAACTGTATACACTGCATTTCAGCTTCGAGACGCTGGTTACAGACTGGGCGGCGAATTGGGTGTCTACGGCCGTGGACACGCGGACACATGCATCATTACCCGCTGTTACATCGGAGGATGCGCTGGACCCGACGGAGAAGTGGTTGAGCTTCCTCCTACAGCCGAACCGATACTCGCCGGAGGTACTTGAGACTGCTTTGTCTGTTTATCAGGAAGCACTTCGGCCCCTGTCCTTTCCTACGGCACCAAAGAAAAGCGCCCCTCTTCAAGAACGACTCTGTTCGACGGTCGCTGCCACAGTTTCCCTTCGTAAGTATGCGGAGGATGATATGGATTTTACGAGGTACCGGGCAGACACAGACTCCAAATGGCGCCAATTCTGGCAGATCGCGGAGGACATCAACAAGCGAAGATTCGCAGCGATTCGCCTCGCGTATGATGTCTACAACGAAGTTCCGTGGATGCTTTTCTCGGATAGCTGTGCAGTCATTCGCGAATGTAGCCCTACCGAGTTGCTTCTGCATAACTCAGGCTCCGAGCTTCGAACAGAAGGGCCCAAGATAGCCGACCGGTGGAGCCACAGGAACCTGGGCTCGGAGATTGGCGATTTGTTCGAACAGGCATCGTTCTTGTTGAGGGTTGCTTCCGGTTTCAGGAAACGTTTCCCCCCTGATCTCGAAGCAGCGTGCCACTGCGCCCTTGAGGCAGAAGTCTATGCGGAGCCTTCATCGTCCATCCCAGACCGGATGGATGCGTTCCGTGAGCGGTGCGACTTTACCGAGCAGGTTTCCAATAAAACCTATGACGGCCTGCTTGCTGCAATGAATGAGCGTCTGAATATTTACAACTTGTCGAATGATGTCTTCTACACCATCATTGACACGATACCTCTCGGCTTCCCCGGCAAAGATTCCGAACTTCTTCCCACTCATTTCGGGGTGAAAGTAACCGTCAACGGCGCCCAGGAGACCATCGAGAACACACGGCAGCTTCTCATCGACCTGTTACTCCTCGTGGTCTTTGTGGACGGAGAGGTCCAGCAGGAGGACGGGTCGACTCTCGATGCCGGTGATCTCTTTGCTACGCTCACCTCTCTCTTGAGGGAATACGAGATGATGTCCTGGCTCAGCTCGAACGTCCGAACGTGTGTCGACAAGTCTCCGAGCGTCATTAGTGATACGTCCAAC